CATGGTTGATATCAATAAGAAACTAAACGAGCTAAATATAATACTGCCAGGAAAGGAAAATCCAGCCTATGCCTTGCTGGAAGAAGTGGATTGTTTTGAAAAAAAATTACTTGTCTTTGTTGAAGACACAGAGAGCCGTAAATTACCTAATTTCGAAAAATCTTTAAAAAATATCGTGATGAAACCAATGCTACTATTAACATGAATCACTTCAGCATTACTGTAAACAAAGTGAAGGATGGGTTCACTGAGAGATTTGAGCAATTCAAAACAAACGCAAGTACTATGACGTTCATGGTAGATTCACTGAACACAAAAACAAATGAGATCAACATTGAGCCATTTTGGAATTGATGCTAGTTCACTTCAAATGGAATTGCTGGATTTGAAAACCAAACATTTGTGTAGTGGTAAATTCACAGAACTCAAGAGCAAGTTGCAGAGATGTAGGTTAAGAAAAGCATGCAAGTTACACTTCACAAGTACACAGCTAACTAACTTTGAAAAGGAATGCAAGGCCAATGCTCCAATTGATGTAACTATATTTACGTTACATAGCTTGGGTACTTCATATCCACAAGTATTTAGTTAAGCTACCTAACGCGGATACTGTCCATTCAGGTCTCGACGCTGAATTACTTTACCTTATCAACCATCGATACTTTCCCATAAACATCCCATAGTATCGATATATTTACTTTACCTGCCTTAAAATCGATTCTGTCCATTCCATCGGCCCTGACTTATTTTACCTTCCCTAAAATTCGATACCGTCCATCCCTAAGTATCGGCACTGATATATTTTACCTTCCCTATCATCGATACTGCCTATCCCCAAGTATCGCCACTGACATAGTTTATCTTCACTAATATTCGATATCGTCCATCACCAAGTATCGCCACTGATATACTTTACCTACTCTAATATTCGTCAATGACTAACTTTACCCTCCCTAACATTCGATACCGTCCATCCTCAAGTATCGGGCCTCATATACTTTACCTTCCCTAACATTCGATACCGTCCATCCCCAAGTTTCGGCACTGGCTAAATTAGATTTCCCTAACACTCGATACCGTCCACCCCCGGGTATCGTCAATGACTAACTTTACCCTCCCTAACATTCGATACCGTCCATCCTCAAGTATCGGTCCTCATATACTTTACCTTCCCTAACATTCGATACCGTCCACCCCCAGGTATCGGCATGGCGTCGTGCTTCATGGCCTACATCGTGGCCTTCTACTACAACGTCCATCATCGGCTGGAGCTTCTTCTACCTGTTCGCGTCCTTCACCTCCAAGCTGCCCTGGACGACGTGCTTCAACTCCTTCAACAGTCGAGACTGCTGGCAGATCGACTGGGACACCAACACCACCAACGTGACGTCACCGGAAGCTGACGTCATCGGCACCACGTCAGGGCCGGGCAACAGGACGTACAACGCCTCGGTGTCGGTGTCGTCCACCATGGAGTTCTTTGAGTGAGTCTGTGTCGTCTGCCGTCTTTTGAGTGAGTCTGTGTCGTCTGCTGTCTTTTGAGTGTGTGTCGTCGTGCTGTCTTTTGAGTGTGTCTGTGTCGTCTGCTGTCTTTTGAGTGAGTCTGTGTCGTCTGCTGTCTTTTGAGTGAGTCTGTGTCGTCTGCTGTCTTTTGAGTGTGTGTCGTCTGCTGTCTTTTGAGTGTGTTTCGTCTGCTGTCTTTTGAGTGAGTCTGTGTCGTCTGCTGTCTTTTGAGTGAGTCTGTGTCGTCTGCCATCTTTTGAGTGTGTGTGTGTCGTCTGCAATCTTTTGAGTATGTGTGTGTCGTTTGTTATTTTTGTGTGATTTTTTAATCTTTCACTATCTTTTGAGTGATTTTTTTTTTTTGCCATCCGGTACCAAGTCTCGTAGGTTTATCCCTCGCCCTCTTTGGCGAAACGAGGGAGTGCAAAGGGGGGTGCCAGCCCCGGCTAGAAAATCTTTTTTTTTTGTTTAATATACTGAGGAAAGGCTGAATAAATGGGATATATATTCCTTGAATGTCTATAGACCAATACCCAAATCTAAGGCTTGTAAATGTCAAGCCCTTATGTAAACAAAGAGAGAGACAGAGAGAAATAGAGAGAGGAGGACAGAGAGACAGAGAGAGAGAGAGAGACAGAGAGAGAGAGAGAGTATGAATAGTCGGGGTGTTCAAAATATTTCATTTAAAAAAGCCTCAAAACGAATTTCTATTCTAAATATCTTTTCTTGAAATGTTTGTGAATTATTATGTGATACTGTGTTTAGTTTCAGCCTTTATGTAAAAAAATTTAAACATTTAAAAAGGTATTCGATTCTTCGTTGCATTCGATGAAGTAGGCGTCAGTGTTTCTTCCAGACTTTTTTCTCCGGGGGGGGGGGGGGCACTTGAAATTTTCGGGGGGGGGGGGGCGGTTAAACTTTCTTTGGGGGGGGGGTGGCGGACACTGTTAAAAGTATATATTTTCTATATAAATTATATAAATTTCATTTCGTTCGGGGTGCGGTAGATTTTTTTCGAACAGATGCCTGGAAGAAACTCTGGTAGGCGTATTGAAGAAACTACTTTTTTACAATGAAAACAAAAGTAATCGATAAAAACATTGTTGACGGATAAAATGCTATCCTACGACAACTTTGTTTTAGTAAAGAGCTAATGGACCCATGCGTGAATAGTCTCAAAGGTACTCGAGAGGCCCATTAAATATTTTTAAAATCGTGCACGGTGTAATTAAAATTAAAATGGTTTTAAAATCCTGACTGTTGGGGGGGGGGGGTGTTCGGACTTCAAAAAAGCGGATGAAATAGATGTTTTAGTATTTTCGGTAATTAAGCACAATTTTTAAAAAAGGCAAAAGCAGTTTGGTTTTCACGTGGTAATGACGATATAAACGAAAACACCCTTCTCTTCGATAGGCGAGCATAAATTTTATTATACAAAACATAAACAACAATGGCAGAACTAAGTCATGTGGTTTAAAACAGCACTATGTTATTTAAAAACTTTATCTGCAAAGTTTTGTAAAACAAATAACTATTGATTTCCTGTTTGTCTAACGAAAGTAAAACATCGGGTTATAACTTAGGCTTGATGAAAATAAATAGAAATGTAGCCTTGCAAAAAAAATATTTTCAAGTTCTCTGAAATTCCGACTGTTACAAAATTGATTCTAAAAATATTAAATTTTTTAGGCTCAAGTTTTTTTTATTTTTTTATTGTTAAGGCCGTAATAAAGTCAAAATATATTTTACCCATGTCAACAATATGATGGAAGTATTTTCGTCAACCCGGTAGCCTCAATTATACACATTTCTGCTAATAATTGTTTTCTTTTGCATTTCAAACTGTTTTTAAAAATACCGTAGCTCTATTGGACTGAAATATAATAATTTGAAGTAAGAATAAACAGGCTAAACATTAATTTAAAATTACAGCTAACTAAAAAATTGTAAGTATATCTAGTTTAAACATGAGGACGTTAATAATAAAAAAAATTTATAGGCTTAGGGGTCATCCATAAATGACGTCAAGCTTTTTTGACGATTTTTTACCTCCCCCCCCCTCCCCTCCGTCACACGTCGTCACAAAAAGCCAGACCCCCCCCCCCTAAAAATGACCTCACACCTCAGCCTACAACACCCCCCCCCCCCCTCAAAATTGCTGTTTGAATTTTGCTTAAAACATCAGTATTTGATCAATTCCTACTACAATTATTAAAAACGCTATCTAAAACGCGAAATAACGACTAAAACTCGTTTTCTAACATTGCTTTTTTATAATGCAAAAAAAGTGACGTCACACCATCTGAACCTACCCACCCCCCCCCCCCTCCCCCTCATCACGTACCGTCACAAAATTACGGACCCCCCCCCCCCCTCCCCCCCTACGAGTGTGATGTCATTTATGGACGACCCCTTAGTGAGAAATTTTTTTGTCTAAATGTAAACAGGAAGCCGTAATGATTTCTCATTGGCTATTACATTTACATGAACTCCGCCCACGTGTTGATTTGTTTCATTTTACACTTGAATTATAATTAGAGTTTGAAACAATTTCTTTCGTTGCATGAATGTATGGGGTTGTTTTTTTTTTTCGCGAAGGTTTAAAATTCTCTGTACTAATGTGCGTATCACGATTACAAGACTTTCTCTATACTTCGTATATACGAGAAAGTAAAAAAACCAAAATTCATTTAATAAAAAGCCAAAATTGTAATTCGTAATCCAATGAGTACATATGAGTACATAAGCATGTTCAAAGAAGAATATTCTTATAAACTTAATCAGCAGAATAAAATAGGTCTACATATAAAAAGTGTATCTTTTGAGTTGTTTTTCAATGATTTTCTTTTTTTTTTGCATAATTGCCTTTCTTTGAAGGGTAACTTCTGTCTTTGGAGGTTTATTTAAACATTTCTTTGATATTTTTGTTTGTTATCCTTTGAAGTTAAACTGCATCGACAAAATTACAAACGTTGTTTATAGTACTCGTTAAAATAAATGCAATTTTTCAAAATATAAACATTCAATAAAACTGATGATACATGTAACGGATTTTCTTCCAGAAGAAAACTAAATAATTTGCGCTGGAACAAGTTCGGAAAATATTGATTGTGGACTTCCAATATGTATTTCAGTTTCTCTCTCCTACATGATAGACATAATGGAAGTTTATTAAACTAATTTATTTTTATTTGCTTTAAATATTTTTTTTCCTGGTGCATCCTGTGAATGCAAAACAAATGTGGCTTCATTTTAAAAAATCCCAAAAATAACAAGGCAATTACTTAACCAGATTGAACTAAATTGGGTTCATTCCACGCTAAGCCCAGGGCGGAGACTTGCATTCGTCAAAATATTTCGTGTAGCTGCGATATTTGTCATGAAAGTTTACATTATGAATGATATAAGTAAACTTTTAAACAAACACAACTAGGTTAAGATTTTCAAGTTAATTAGTGATTCCTTGATTTGGCGACTCCTCAAAGTAATATTTACACGCTTTGAATATTTGGTTGCAACCAGAGGCGTAGCGACCCTTCCCGGCGCCCGGGGACATACTTTCAAATTTGGCGCCCCCTTGGGAGCAAATTTTCGATTTGCACCCCCCCCCCTCGAACTTTTCATTTGCACCCCCCCCCCGTCAAACTTTCGATTTGCACCCCCCTCGAACTTTTCATTTGCACCCCCCCCTCAAACTTTCAATTTGGCGCCCCCCCTAAGGTCGGCGCCCGGGGACATATGTCCCCGCCCCCCCCCTCGCTACGCTACTGGTTGCAACAGTTGCATAAGTTAGTTCCAACAACAGGTTATAATCGTCACTGTCAAGGACTTTGTCTCCAACTTTCGAGGAAACAATATGCGAGTTTTTTAGACTTGGCTACTCTAAGATTAACTGAACGTTGCATTTCTCTCACCTAAAAATTGCCTGCGGTAGTGATACGTTTGTTTCAAACTTTCTTTTCTCCCCTGAATCATCTTGTCTCCCTTGAATATTTTTTTCCCTAAATCTTGTCTCCCCTTTATTCTTCTTTACTCTCCTGAATATTGTTGTTTCCTCTGAATCTTCTTTACTTCCCAAAATCTTCTTGTCTCCACTGAACCTTCTTATCTCATCGGAATCTTATTTTTTCTGAATCTTCTTAGCTCGCCATAATCTTCTTGTCTTCCCCTTTTTGTTCTTATTCTTCTTTTATCTTTCCTGGATCTTCTTGACTCCCCTGATATTCTTATCTCCCTTGCATCTTCTTATCCCCCTTGAATCTTTTTATCTCCCCGGAATCTTCTTGTCTCCGCTGAATCTTTTTTTAATCTCCCCTGAATATTCTTATCTCCCCTGAATCTTCTCCTCCCCTGAATCTTTTTTATCTCCCCTGAATATTCTTATCTCCCCTGAATATTCTTATCTCCCCTGAATCTTCTCCTCCCCTGAATCTTTTTTTATCTCCCCTGAATATTCTTATCTCCCCCTGAATATTCTTATCTCCCCTGAATCTTCTCCTCCCCTGAATCTTTTTTTTTTATCTCCCCTGAATATTCTTATCTCCCTTGAATCTTCTCCTCCCCCTGACGATGCCCTAACCTTGACATTGCAGACGGGGCATGCTGGAACTAAACCACTCTACAGGGCTGGATGACCTGGGCGTGGTCAGATGGCAGCTGGCACTCTGCACGTTCCTCACGTTCACCGTCCTCTACTTCTGTCTGTGGAAGGGCGTCAAGAGTACAGGGAAGGTAAGGGGCGGTTGTGGTGGTAAGTCTGGGCTGGATGGGCTTTTGTGGGCTTTGTTGTAAGGTATAGGTTGTATGGGCTTTTGTGGGCTTTGTTGTATGGTATGGGCTGTATGGGCTTTTGTGAGTTTTGTTGTAAGGTATACATTTTTGTGTGACATATGGACTTTTATGTACTTTGTTGTATGGTATGAATTTTTGTGCGACAGATGGGCTATTGTGAACATTTGTTTTTAGCTATGCATTTTTGTGTGAAAGATGAACTTTTGTGAACTTTTTTGTAAGGTATGCAATTCTATAATTTATGTGAAAGGTGGGCTTTTATCAAGTTTGTTGTACATGTGCGTTTACAACGTGTGTGAAAGATGGGCTTTTGTGAAGTTGGGATGTTGGGTATGGTAGATTTTTATATTATCTCTTTTAAGTTGGGCTTTTGTTTTCTTGGTAATAAGATTGTTTTTTAAATACTTTTTGTGGTAAGGTGGGCTTTTTTATTTCTTTGAATAAGTCAGACTATTTTTCTATGTGAGTAGATGGACTAGTTTTTTTTAATGTGTTATTCTTTATCATTTTAAGATATTTTTAAGGTGGGCTTATGTCATCGTTTTAGTATGATGGGCTATATGAAAAGTGGGCTTTTGTAAACTTTGCAATAGGGTTAGCTTTTATCCTATGTGTAGAAAGGTAATGAGTGGTAAGGTGGACTAATTAAATTGTTCTAATGAGTTAGGCATTTTAAAACATACGTGATTAATTTGATTTTTTGTAACGTCCTTTGTTATTTTAAAGATAGGATTTGTTTTGAAACCCAGTTTAATAAGTCGGTATTTTGTAACTTATAGTGGAACATAGTTTCATGATTTGTGCAAACTATCCGGGGAAAAGTCTAGTCTTATTGAAATCTAAACCAATTGGAAAAAGTGGTTTGTAATAAAGTGGCATATTTGTTTGTTCTTTGATAAAAATGTACAGAGAGAACGAGCTAGAGTAACCCCATACCAAAATGTATAAAAGTAAAGTTCCTCTTTAGACCTGGCGAGCCAGTGAGCAGATGAAGTAGAGTTTTTGACCTCGGCATAAGAAAGGATAGTGTAGTCAGCATTAAGCTCAACCGTCTTTACTTTCCTTAAGTCAGTTATTCATCAGAGCAGGGTGGACTCATGGGCGTCCTACCGTCACAATTCAGAACCGAGATCCGAACTCGAGACCTCAGGGATGGCAGCCCAATACTCTACTATTCGACCACGCCGTCCCATACCAACACGTATCCGACGGATTAAAAGAAAGCTGATTTAGCTAAAGCTAGAGTTGTAAAGACGTTGCAGTATTCCCAAATGGAAATCATAACAGGGAAAATATGTGATGAATAAATAAATATAACGTATAAAACTGCGTTTGATGATAAGTACCATATGCTGTTCAACTCGGAAACATGTTAAACATATTCCTCAATGTTTGTTGTTTTTCTAGAGCTTCAACGCATTCCTTTGAGCAAATTTGCAATTTTTAAAACAAATCGTTTTTTACAAAGAAAATTTGTGATAGTTGCCATGTTGTTTTACTGAATGTATTGAAGGTTGATGAGTTGATGAGTCTTGTGTATTGACGGTTGATGAGTTTTGTGTGTCTATGTAATGGATGGCAGATAGTTGGTATCACACAGGCTTATGTTGTTATGTGTTAGATGGGCTAGTGTATGTGGGTATAATCAGTTTGTTGCAGTTGATGTATGTATCGCATTGAGTATGTATGTATCACATACACACTGTATGTCAGTATAACCAGTTTACCGAATGTGTAAATAATAAGTTTAATGCAGGCCATGTATGTATGTGTCACATTGTAGGTCAGTATAACCAGTGTATTGAAAACGTAGTAAATCACACCTCATAAAAGTACGGTCAGCTAAACACCATTTAATAATAGGTGGTGTGTCATAACCCCCCCTCCCCCCCCCCCCACCCCCCACCACACACAATTAAACAACTAAAGACAAGTCTCTGCCCTCGTACATCACAATTTTCCCTCTCGTACAGAGTTTCTTCCAGGCATCTCTTCGGGGGAGCTCGACCCCCCCCCCCCCCCCCGAAAAAAGTCTACCGCCCCCCCCCCCCACCCCGAACGAAATGGAATTTATATAGAACATATATACATTTAACAGTGTCCGCCCCCCCCCCCCCCCCGAAAATTTCAAGTGCCCCCCCCCCCCCCGGAGAAAAAAGTCTGGAAGAAACACTGCTCTCCTATGTCCCTGTTGTTGCAATATTATCGTTAGGACTAAGCCCGAACCCCACCCCTAACCCACACGCCTACGAACCCTCCAACCCTCCGCTAAACTCCACTCAGCTCAGGTGTGTGACGTCATATTTTGCTCGGGGTTTTTTTGTGCGACCTCTTGAGTCACGTGACTCGTCTGTTGCAGGTAGTCTACATCACGGCCACCCTGCCCTACGTCATCATGACCATCCTGCTGGTCCGTGGGGTCCTGCTGCCAGGGGCAGAGGACGGCATCAAGTATTTCATCACGCCCAAGGTCGACAGTCTCCGGAAACCTAAGGTGAGAGGGCAGACAGCTTGTAGGGTGCGTTGGTTGGAGTGCAGAGACGTAGCGATGCGGGGGGGGGACATATGTCCCCGGGCGCCGACCTTAGGGGGCGCCAAAATGGGTTGGAAAAAGTAATCGAAAGTTTGAGGAGGGTTCAAATCGAAAGTTTGTCCCCGGGCGCCGGGAAGGGTCGCTACGCCTCTGTTGGAGTGTAGTGGTTATGGGGTGTCGATGTTATAGCGTTGTTAGCCGTTAAATATAGCGTTTATGGTGTTAAATATAGCGTTGTAAGTTGTTAAATATAGTGTTTATGGTTTTCAACATATAGCGTTGATGGTGTTAGAAATAAGGCGTTTATGTACTTAAACATAGCGTTTATATGGTATTGTACAATTATGGGAAGACCTTTTATTCTTTTATGGGAACACCTTTGAGAATACCTTTTTAAACCTTTAATGGACCACCTTTTTATACCATTTATTGTACTAAATATATCTTTGATGATGTTAGAAATAGCTTTGATGGTGTTTAGTATAGCGTTTATGGTGTATCGCTTATTGTGCTGAGTGTAACGTTCATTTTTTTAAAATTGTGTATAAGGTAGCCATAGTTCATAAAGTAGTCATTGCGTATAAGTTAGTGTTCATAGTGCATAAGGTGGCGTTGAATGCTCGAAATGTTCCATGGAGCACGTGACTATTCTCTGGCACTGTTTACAGGTGTGGATTGACGCTGCCGTGCAAATTTTTTTCTCTGTCGGGTCCGGGTTCGGAACCCACATAGCCTACGCCAGCTACAACAAGTTCCACAACAACTGCAAGCGGTGAGTTGCGTCTTCTCTGATACATCAGTTATGTTTTTATACCTTTGTGGGAACACGTTTTATACCTTTATAGGAACACTGATTTATAATTTTTGGTAGGGCATTGTTATAGAATCAGGGGAACACCTTTTTATACTTCATGGGAGGACATTTTTTTTATAACTTTGTTGGAACACTTTTTTATGCCTTTATGGGAACGCTTTCCTTCTTTTATAATTTATGAGAACATCTTTTTACAAGCTTTTATTACAAGCTCTTATTTAACTCGCTTCATCTGTCGTCAGTCTGTCGTCAGTCTAGATCGAAACGCCGGAGCGAAATTTGGACACTTCTACTTGACCGATACGGTTCACAGTTGGCACGTGGGTCAAGACATGAAGACAATGCGATCTGAAATTAAATTTGACTTAATTGGATGCCTAAATAATTTGTTATGAATTAATTAAAATTTGGACCGAATTAGTAGGCATATTTATCCAACCACACCACACGCGTCATCACGTTCAATAATTTATTTTCTACTTTTTAGTGCATTGGTACATAAAAGCTTGTTATTAAAACGTTTTTAATGAAAAATTTTTAACTCACTTCCTAGACAGTCTGTCTTGACCCACGTCTTTATGTCTTGACTCACGTACCAATTACGAACCGTATCTATGAGTTAGAAGTGTCCGAATTTTCGCTCCGGCGTTTCGATCTGGACAGACAGACTGACGACAGAAAATGCGAGTGTAATAAAAGCTTGTAAAAAGCAACACATAGAGTCCTTGAAAATGGTAACAGAAGAGAATCTACCGGGGGAAAAGGGGGGTAACAAAACAATTATTGAAAAGGGAGATAACTTGTCATTTTTCAGAGACTGTATCATCACAGTGATCGTCAACTCGGCGACCAGCCTGTTCAGTGGGTTCGTCATCTTCTCCTACCTCGGCTACATGGCCCTCAAGACACACAAGGACATCGATAAGGTCGCCACGGAAGGTCAGTAGCCCGCTAGAGATCTGAGAGATACACAGCACATACGGACAACGGGACCTTTTGTTTTTGTTGTTGTTGTTTATGTTGGTTGTTTATTTTGTTTTATTTTTATTTGTTTCGCTTCTTTAACGTTTTAAAGGTTTCAATTAAAGGAGAGGTACTCTCGTATACGAAGAACATAGGGTTTTCACAAATCTTGACGTTTTACACCTCCATGAGTCGGAAAAGTTTTGCAAATTTGTCCGTATGTCTGTGTGTGTGCGGATGTGTGTCTGTGAACACGATAACTTGATTACCGTTACAGCTAGGTTAATGAAATTTCATATATAAGTATATCAAATTTGTAGTTCTGTATCAAATTCTCAGCGATTTACAGTAGCCGGAAGTAGAACTTGTACTACTTTTTTTTTTCCAAAAGATTATATCTTGAGTACTGTTTCAGAAAGACGAAATTTCACAAATAAGTAAATTATCTAGATCTCTGCCTTCTGTCAAATTTTGGGTAATTTCTGTTTACCGGAAGTAGTATTTTACGCTATTACCGATTTCTTTAAAAAAGCATATGATTTTTATTTTTTTTTGCATCTACTTTATTTTTCCGCGTAATTAACAAACTTAACGTTGCTTATCAAGTTATTTTGTTAAACAAAACTTAGTCACCTAATAACCAAATTTTACATCATCGTGGCCTATTTGATTAAAAACTTCTATTTACATTGTGCTAATTTAATGGGTTTTTTTCTCAAAACTAATTAATTAGCAGTTCAGTAATTTCAGAAAGTTCCCACGCTCCCTTATCAGCTATAGACGTGTGTCTGTTTGCACTTGGGTATAAGAAAATAGTAATTAAATATACACATACATATACATATATGACTTTGTCAATGTCTTTTCTGTTTCATTCTCGAATTTAGTTTGCATATATCTGCTTTATTTCTGATATTTGTAGTATGTTTTACTGCTTTATTTATCATTTTTCGTGTGTTTTTCGTGCTTAACTTCTGATATTTTGTGTATGTTTGTCTGATTTATTTCTGATATTTCGTGTGATTTGTCTGCTTAATTATTTTTATTGTATATGTTTCTCTGTTTTAATTCTGAAATGTCAATCATATTTCGTGTAATTTGCTTATTTTTTTTTAAAAATATGTATATTTATATATGCTTTATTTCTAGTATTTCATGTGTATTTCTCTGCTGTATTTCTAATATTTCCATCATATTTCATGAAATTTATCTGCTTTATGATATCGCGTGTAGGTTTACTTTATAGCTTTAATTCTGATATTTCGTGTCATTTGTCTACTTTATTTTTCTTTTAATTTCTCGTATCTGTCTGCTTTATATCCGACTTGCTAATGTTGCACTGTGTCTGCTTTATATCCGACTTCCTAATGTTGCACAGGTCCGGGCCTAGTGTTTATTGTGTACCCTGAGGCCATAGCAACACTTCCGGGATCAGTGGGCTGGGCTATCATCTTTTTCTTCATGCTGCTCTCCCTTGGTCTCGACAGTGCGGTAAGTTTGTGTGTGTTGACTTGATTTCAAGCTGTACTAGATGTTAGACATGGCGGCAGCTTGTAGATGTACTGTGTAGTGCTGGTGCGTGTTGTGAATGGTTGATGAGGGTGATGGTGGTAGTGGTTGTAACTGTTACATGAAATGTTGATGAGGGTGATGGTGGTGTTGTAACTGTTACATCAAAATGTTGACTCATGGGGGTCTAACGATATTGCCTGGGCGATAATGTTTAAAGAGACTGTCACACGATACTGCCACACGATACTGACAAACGATACTAATGTATGATACTGATATACGTACTGACACATGATACTTGTCACAAGCTGCAGCCACGCGATACCGATAAATTATACCGATATACGAAACTGATATACGATACTAACACACGATACTGCCACACGATACGATCACAAAATACTGACACATGATACTTACAAAAGATACCAATACATGCTACTGATATACAATACTGATATACGATACTGATACAGGACTCTAATATACGATACTAACAGACGATACTAACACACAGCACTGACACAAGATACTGCAACATAATACAGTCTAACGATACTTGCCAAATATACTATACTATACTTAGATACTACAACACGATACCATCACACAACATAGACCAACTATTGTGTCCATAAATCTTTTCTTACGATACTGCCTTGCAATACTGCCTTACGATACTGCTACACAGTATTGTCTCACGATACTGCCTCTAAATACTGCCTTACGATACTGCTAATACGATACTACAATACGATACTGCCAATCGATACTGCCATGCAATCAGAAATAACACCTGTTCCTTTTTTTCAGTTCGGCGGATTGGAATCGCCCTTAACGGGTATTCGAGATGAGCTGTCTCAGCTGATGAAGTATCGATACTTCAGGGAAGTCCTGACATTAATTATTATAATGTCAGCATTTATATTTTCTATTCCTTGTTTAATGCAGGTAATTATTTGGCTTTAAAAATAAATTTAAAAATCATATAGTAGCATTATGATTTATATAATGTTTTATAGAATCATCTTGCCACTAAACTAAATTATTATTTGACTCTAGAGCATTACTCTGTTGACAGTAATAAAATAAGTTAGAAAAATTACCACTTTCCGCTAACCACTTTTACCCGGCAATAGAGGATAACAAAAACACAACTCATTTTTAAATTCCGCACGCTTTCAAAAACACAATACTACAAAAGCGCAGTAACTCAGGAATCTTTAACATAACAAAAACGTAAGCATAGAACTTTTCAAGTGGCCATTGAGATTTCTCAGGCTATGTTCTAACTGGAGTATATTCAGTCCATGAGATTATGATTCTATTCGGGATATAGGATTATCCATATTTAACGTCCAAACGCAGAGGGGGGAGGGAAAAAATCGACTTTTAACATATGGGCTGGAGGGGTAGTGTCTATGTGGACATACACGTGTTTAATTAGTCATCGAATTGATTACACCTAACAACAAAAATAAAACACTTAACCTGCATATAAAATGTATTTATATAAACAACAGTTCAACGGGTCACTAAACTAAACCATAGCGTCTTTTGCTATGCATGTAACTCTTTGATAAGCAAGCTAAGAAGTAAACAGAAGTAGAGATTATGAACCCGAGGTTTACTTACGACCTAGCCATATTCTGATGACTAATATTAAAATGCAATCATATATTACATGTAAAGCTTTTCTTTAAATGCTTACTTAATATTGTTCATCAGTTGTTGTTGGGTTGTTTTTTTTTTTTTTGTTAAAATAGGAGGAGGGGGTGTTAATCTTTGAATTAAATCAAGCGCCCATTTTATAATTATGCTTTGATGATAAAAAAGATAGTATTTATATTTTCAACACATTCTAGGTTCTCTCATTAATATTTAGGGCTAATAATAGACATTAGCACAATGTAGTTGACTCGCAAAGCCAGGGGGAAGTGGGTCTTAAATTCCAATTTATTGTAGGAGCCATATATATAAATATATATATATATATATATATATATATATATATATATATATATATATATATATATATATATATATATATATAAATATATATATATATATATATATACACTATATATATATATATATATATATATATATATATATATATATATATATATATATATATATATATATATATATATATATATATATATATATAAAGAGGGAGATGGGTTAGTATTTCCCTTATACAATTATATTTCATTTCTAAGCAATATATTAATTACTTTTTTGGCTTTGTCTCTATTTAAGACCAGTACAGCAAATATGGTAAAAGCATTATATAAAACATAAATGCTCATGCAATTCATATAAACAACCACCCATTGGCCGTGTTCATAGATAAACAGCGCACGGTAATATACTTGTTTTTAAGGGCTGAAAGAATGGCCCATATCGTTTCTAAAAAACAATTTCTGACTAAGAAATTCGAGGAACATATTGGTTGCGCTGATAGATCCGGATTGAGATTTTTGTGAGTGAAATATTATTCACTCAGACCTGACGGTCTAACGAGTGGAGTAGGTGAAGGAGAGTTCACCTGTGTATCGGATCAGGTACACCGTGGTACAAGCTCATGTAGACAAGTGCTCTGACACTCGACCACGCCGCCTCCCACAGACAGACAAGAATTTACGCTTATAAATCAAGGGCAGACAAAGCTAGTTGACCGTAGATAGAGGATGAGAGCGCTTTGTACTCAGCGACGTAATAGTAATAGTGATCCAATTATTAGATGTACGCGTATTAAACAAGGTAATTAAAAAGTCTAGTGACAATTTTAGCGCAATTTCCTTATGTTATCTAAAAATAGCTCTGTCGTAGCGTAAATCAAGAGCAGGGTTAGTAAAACCATTGGTTAGTTATTAAAACGTTTTTTATGAATTTTTTTTTCAGTATTTTACATGTTTTATTTACAACAGAGTTACATGACTAAAAACCATTGCGCGCCTAGCTACTGAACGTGATTACGCAGCCATTGAACGTGATGTCGCAGCTATTGAACGTGATGATGCGTGTGGTGTGGTTGGATAAACATGCCTACTAATTCGGTCAAAATTTTAATTAATTCAAAAAAAAATTTGTGACCAAACGAAAGGATATTTTTGAAAACTTTCTTCGGCAATATTGTTCTAAATTATGGCAGGAATCGATTGGTACATGTTTGAAGTCGCTAAGTCGTCTGGTTGCCGAGATGTGGGCCAAAAACTGCATTTTTTTCGAGGTTTTTTGGCTTTTCCGGGAAATCCATGAAAGAAACCCGGAATTTTTATGGCCTATGTTCATCCTCGTAACTTGCTTAACATATTTGCTTTGAAACTAGTCCTCGATATTGCTTCGTTGAGGAGGAGATACGACTTAAAGCTGCGGACACACATCCATCCATTCCCAGAAAAGACGAGTTAATAAACGCAATTCTCCAGAATGGAAATTGCGCTAAACAAAACTTTATGAAAACAGATTTGAAATACAAAATACTTTGTTAGGTGTCCCCCCCCCCCCCCATTTATGTTCCGTATGAGCAATAGTCATATGTACTTTAACATTCTTTGGCCCAATGAGAACTCGCTATACCATAATATAATACCTGGGCTTATCGTAGGGCCCCATATCTGAAATAGCCTAGGGCCTTATTAAGCCTAAACTCGGCTTTATTGATGAAGTGTGTAGGGGTCGGCGTGGTCAGGTCGGTAAAACTCATGGTAGCTAAACCGAAAAGCCCCGGACAGATAAGGTTCAATAGCTGGAGACAGCAACCCCATCTAGGATCAAACATCTGCAAACGTTCGTTATTGCATGGATAAATGCTATGGAAAGCATATCCAGTAAGAAAAGCGTGTCGACACGAAATACTTTTTGTGTTGGAGGGGATCCCGTCAAGTATTACAGTTTAAAAACGAAACAGAAGATAGAATTAAATATTGTGTTTAATGAAATCCAATGTATGGTCAGGCACTGTGCCCAGCCCGGCTTTATTAACCCCCCCCCCTACACACACACACACACCCTTTCCCAGCACTGACTGAATGATAATCCCCTAGACTCGAACTGACGAACAGGCTAGTAATCAATCTATGTACCACTCGACCACAGTGTCTGTAGTTGTTAAAAGATTTACAAAATGATATTAACCAATCAATTCTTCTCCCCCCCCCCTAAACCCCACCCCACCAGGGCGGGATGTACATCTTCACTGTACTGGACACATTCGCTGCCGGAACTTCCATCGTCTTCATCGTCTTGTGTGAGGTCATGGCCGTCTCGTGGATCTACGGTAAGGTGGGCTGGTTGGCGTTAGGTCACGTGGTTGTCGCCATGTCGTGTGGTTGTTTAGTGGTGCCTGGTTGTCTTTAGATTCAAAATCAGTGGGGGGTTTATTGGGTGTTTTTTCTTTTGGTTTTTTTTTTTGTTTTTTGTTTTTGTTTTTGTTTTTTTTTTTGAGAATGTATGACGGCTGTAAACAAGGTAATTTTGATTCATGTGCATTTATGTTAATTTATGCTAATAGTTTGATGAGGTACAAAGGTGTGTCACATCAGTTCTTCCTTCATCTTCCTAGTATGGATACGGGTGTCTTCTTGAGTGGTCCAATCACCATGCCTGTCCTATCTAGACTACTTAATTCATAATGAATAATCAATGCGACCTTCATTGAAAAGCCCTATGACATACCTGAAATTACTCACATGACCCGCGTTAAATGACCCATATCACCCACGTTAAATGACCCATATCACCCACGTTAAATGACCCATATCACACACGTTAAATGACCCATATCACACACGTTAAATGACCCATATCACACACGTTAAATGACCCATATCACACACGTTAAATGACCCATATCACACACGTTAAATGACCCTTATAGTACATGTTAAATGACTCATACCACCCACGTTAAATGACCCATATCACCCACGTTAAATGACCCATATCACACACGTTAAATGACCCATATCACACACGTTAAATGACCCATATCACACACGTTAAATGACCCATATCACCCACGTTAAATGACCCATATCACACACCTTCAGTGACCCTCATGAATGGCCCATCCATTTCTCGTACATTGAATGATCCATCTTGTATGACCCATGTGTCCCACATTGAATGACCTACTTTAACTGACCCACATTGAATGACCTACTTTAACTGACCCACATTGAATGACCTACTTTAACTGACCCATACTGAATGACCTACTTTAACTGACCCACTTTGGATGACCTCTGCCCTCAGGTATGCCCCAGTTCTGCCGTGACGTGGAGAAAATGACGGGGGAGGCACCGAGCATCTTCTGGCGGATCTGTTGGAAATTTATCTGCCCCTTTCTCTTAATAGTAGGTGCTAAATGTGTTTTATGTAGTCGTGAGTTATCTGCCCGTTTCTCTTAATAGTAGGTGCTAAATGTGTTTTATGTAGTCGTGAGTTATCTGCCCGTTTCTCTTAATAGTAGGTGCTAAATGTGCTCAGTGTTGTCGGACATAATCATCATCATCACATAAGTCAATATCATTCAACGTAACTAGATGTCACCCAATTTTAACATCATACTTCTGGATGGCAACCAAGACTAACGTCACATTTCTAGATATCAACCAATGTCAACATCATATTTCTAGATATCAACCAATGTCAACATCATATTTCTAGATATCAACCAATGTCAACATCATATTTCTAGATATCAACCAATGTCAACATCATATTTCTAGATATCATCCAATGTCAACATCATATTTCTAGATATCAACCAATGTCAACATCATATTTCTAGATATCAACCAATGTCAACATCATATTTCTAGATATCAACCAATGTCAACATCATATTTCTAGATATCAACCAATGTCAACATCATATTTCTAGATATCAACCAATGTCAACATCACATTCCTAGATATCAACCAATGTCAACATCATATTTCTAGATATCAACCAATGTCAACATCATATTTCTAGATATCAACCAATGTCAACATCATATTTCTAGATATCAACCAATGTCAACATCATATTTCTAGATATCAACCAATGTCAACATCATATTTCTAGATATCAACCAATGTCAACATCATATTTCTAGATATCAACCAATGTCAACATCATATTCCTAGATGTCACCATAGGGTAAATCCCATCCACGACATCACCCAATTACAACACCACGTGACTAACTCCCCCTCCCCCCCCCCACCCCCTACCCCCCAGGTGATCGTAGCCTCCAGCATCATCTCCTACCAGCCCCTGACCTACCGGAGCTCCCAGGGTACCTACGTCTACCCCTACTACGCCAACATCGTCGGCTGGTGCATCGCCGCTTCCTCCATGGCCCTGGTCCCGGGCTACTTTGTCTACAGGTTTATCAAGAACAAGGGCTCCTGTCGGCAGGTGAGTGTGTGAGGGGGGGGGGATGCACGTGTGTGAGGGAATTTGTTATGTGTGTGGGTGAGCTGACATGTGTGTAGTGGATTGTTCGTGTGTCTGTGTGTAGGTCTATGCGTCAGTGTGTGAGCGAGTTTGTATTAGCGCGTGTGTGTGTGTGTGTGTATGTGCCTGCCCGAGTGCGCATGCGAAAAAAAATTTGTGTTGACTACCAATGGAGTAATGGTAAATAACAGCATTTGATGTTATCCACACATTATCCACCCACCATCCAACCTCCATCATCCACCCAATATCCACCCATCATCCATCCTACCCACACATTTATATCATAATACATAGTCACAAAAAGTCTCTCTTTCATCGTGAAATAACGACAAAAAAATTGATGTGTATGGATGTTCGATTTCTTACATGAATGTATTCATATCATACATTTCCTACACGATTGCGTGTTTTCGATGTATTACATGTATCTCTTATAAAGTTTACATCACTGATGTATTACATGTATCACTCAGAGTAATTTCTTACAAATGAGTGATCTCTGTGTTAAATCTATGCATTGGTAAATTCTGCCATGGTTCAATGGAGAGTAATTCGACCACAAACGTGAACTGTTTTACCTATCAAAACAAATGCATCAAACAATTCGACTCGTACTTATTGTTGAAATTGTTGTTTTTTTATTTTACAAAAATGGGATAGTTCTATAATTATACTGTTTGTGTGTAGTTATTTTTATTACAATAATAATTACATTTTCTATTTATTTCCTAATTTTTTTTTTCCGTGTAGCGATTAGCACTTGGAATATCCCCGGAATGTGAACATGAGGAGATAATCGAGAAAAAAATTGTCAAAAGATTCCAGGTTAGCTTCTATCTTACATCTTGTAGTAGTTATTTCCCTTTACCCTAGTAAATATTGTATTTCCTTAACAATGGTGAAAACATTCATTGAATTTTATGTTGTTGTTTTTTTTACATAATTATATTTTAGCAGAAAAAAAGTGTACATGTTTATTATACAAGCTTCGAGTTTCACATCTTTATACATGATTTAATAATTAACAAAGCAGGTAGAAAAAAGGAAATTACCACACCTGAGACTAATCCTATTCGTGGGAGGGTTAACTATAGCCCTAATATAAACCCAGGGGTTGAAGCAGATTAATAACCTGGAGGTTAAATGTTAGGAAAAAAAACACGTAATTTATCCCCCCCCCCCCTCCAACATCTCTTACACCCCTCCCTTCCCTAAAAGACAAAACCTCATTACTTAGTAACCGGAATTATAATTAAAGTTTATAAAATGTTCATAATTCTTTAAAAGCAATACCAATTTTTTTTTACAGCTTCCTAATTCTTAACCATCTCTCCCTTTGTATCAAACAAATCTCCGCAAAATTTCCCCCCCCCCCCCCCCCCATCTCCATTTCCCTTTCCTTAGATCCGTGAAATAATTAGCAGGTGCTATATTGAGACCAGTTCTAGATATATTATGTGTTTGTGGATATGGCAAATCTTTAAGCGTTGTGTTAGAGGTCGGCGTGGTCGGGCCAGTAAAGCTTATGGTTCCTTAAACCGGAAAGTCCCGAGTTCAAATCTCCGGGTAGATGAGGCTCGTAAGCTGTGAACAACACTCCATCTAGGAGAGACAACTCCCAAATCAAACAGCTGCTGACTTGTAGTTTGTTCTTGGGCAAAGGCTATGGAAGCAAATCTAGATATGGCTCATAACATGTTGGCACGGAATTCCTAATTGTGCTGGAAGAAATCCAGTCCAGCATGACAATTAAGAACGAAAAACAAAACAAAAAAATGTATTGATTACGAACCATATTTCACACAGCACTCCAAAAATTCAACAAATTAATGAATGTTCAGATTTTCTTTAACATTTTTATTTTTATTTTATTTTCAGCGTCATCATTGGCTGTCGTTATAACTAACTGACCAGCCGGTTTTTTTTCCTATGTGATATCACCGTACATACAACATAGCCGTGTATAGACCATCCAGTATTCCTCAGACCGTAGCCGTCTCAATGTGCCCCTTCTCACCTCATTGCTAGATCATTTGGCAGGGGACACCACTGCCATTTTTGTTTTTTCTAATTTATTTATTTATTGTTTTATGTTGTATTCTAGTCATTATTATTAAAGAAAACAATAATAATAATTGTAAATCGGCTGTGTTTGTTTGCTTTCTTTGTTTGTTTTATTTATTTTGTTTTAAAAACTCTATTTATTTTTATTTATCCGAATAAGAGTGTGCGATTAGAAATTAAACACGCAACTAATCTATCTAAACACGGTAGATATATAAATACCCTCTCGCTCCCCACCCCTAATTTAACCATTGGTCAACCTGGACAGCACAATTTATCATTTCGCGACCAGAGGAACTTAGAGACCCCTTGCAAACATGTGATGTTTACATGCAACGCCATGATGGTGAACTTTGCCGGTCTGCAAAGCGCTAGTCTATTGTGAAAATGTCTTCAATTTATTTTTTAAAAACCTACCAGCCTGCAACAATATTTGAAGAAACTTGAACTGTTCAGAATTAATTTTATTTTTTTCTGACGCTATAGTATTATAGATATAAAAATGAATATGCTACATTTTTGGACAAAAGTTGAACATATCCGATCGCCGATCGTACAACGTGAATTTTTGGAATCCTCAACTACCACAGCGATAAACATGAAAGCATGTTAACTATGTTTACATAGTGAGTGACCTGTGACGTCATTTACCTACTTCTCAATGCACCTGTTCTAAGGCTCTTGCCATGTCCTTGCAGAACCTGAATTCCGTGTAGTAGTGTAACATATGCAGACTCTGTACTAAAACTATGAAGTCGTATTTACAACTAGTACTAGGTGTGCCAAAAACTCATTACCACGCGCTTTCCGACGCACATAAACACGCACACACACAATATATACACACACACACATATCTTTAAGCAATGTGTTAGTGGTCAGTGTGGTCGGGCGAGTAAAGCTCACGGTTGATAAAACGGAAAGTCATGAGTTCAGATCCCCTGACAGATGAGGCTCGATAGCTAGTGACAGCAACCCATCTAGAAAAAGACAACTCCAAAAATCGAACAACTACGAGGTAGTAGTTTGTATTTGTCTGGACAAAGGCTATATATATATATATATATATATATATATATATATATATATATATATATATATATATATATATATATATATATATAAACTACACTAACAAGTTTTCTAGATTCATATATTCATGGTATTTGTTTTACTAAAAATCAAAACAGTAAACACGCTGCCAAGGGCATACGTGGGTAAAGTAGACTATATGATATAAATAAGCTCTGATCATATTAGGCAACATCCACTAAATTATTTTGTTTGGTGTTTATTTCAGTTAGCCAGCTTCTGATACAAATACATTAGCAACAATATACAAAATGGTGGAGGGGGCTTCATGATTGAACTACGATTTGACTTGATAAATATTTGATCACCTTCATTGGGAAAAAAAAAAGTAGCGTGTCGGACTGTTGACTTCCGGTTACCCCAGAGTGAGAAATGGCCGCCAGACGCGCGCGAAAGGCTTGATGAGTCGCGCAATGTCCTGGACTAGGTGGGCGGCCTGTGACCCCGCCCCCCAGGCGAGGGAGACGGTCTCGGCGCCCAGACCCACGGTGTGAACAACCTGGGGATAAAGGGGGGGGGGGGGGAGATGACATGTCTTAAATCTTAAAGTATGGTATCTATACGTGGGGGGGGGGGGGGTGACACGATCTTCAGTAAAAGAGTAGTACATTCAAAAAATCTACAGGCTCTGTACAGTGTCACATTTTTAAAAAAAACGTTTAAGTTCTGCACAGCGAAAAAATATCTTACAATGAAAAGTATCATACAGCTACAATTATCATACAGCTAAAAGTATTAGACAGCTAAAAGTATCATACAACTAAAAGTATCATACAGCTAAAAGTATCATACAGCTAAAAGTATCATACAGCTACAATTATCATACAGCTAAAAGTATCATACAGCTAAAAGTATTAGACAGCTAAAAGTATCATACAACTAAAAGTATCATACAGCTAAAAGTATCATACAGCTAAAAGTATCATACAGCTAAAAGTATCATACAGCTAAAAGTATCATACAGCTAAAAGTATCATACAGCTAAAAGTATTAGACAGCTAAAAGTATCATACAACTAAAAGTATCATACAGCTAAAAGTATCATACAGCTAAAAGTATCATACAGCTAAAAGTATTAGACAGCTAAAAGTATCATACAACTAAAAGTATCATACAACTTAAAGTATCATACAGCTAAAAGTATCATACAACTTAAAGTATCATACAGCTAAAAGTATTAGACAGCTAAAAGTATCATACCGTTAAAATTATAAAACAGCGAAAATAATCAAAAACTGAAAAGTATCATAGCAGGAAAAATGTACAATCAGATCAAATCCAAAAGCCCTCATCATTGTGCTCTTCTGAATCTGCGTGACTTCATTAGCTGCCAACAGGTTAATTAACTTAATGACCTATTTGTGACTAATGAGGTAGAGCTACCTACAGGGAGGATGGGACCGCTGAGGCACGTGATCATTTCCATTTCCACCCGGGGTGGGGTCCTGTAGGGTCGCCTCTCCGCCCATTTGGCCACAACTTCGGCGCCCTGAGGGTGTGGGGCAGAAACAGGGAGTTAGAATAAAGCTTTGTACATACTAGTTGCGTGTACACGATAGGTTTTTGTGTATACAAATAGTGTATACACAAAAATAATGTGTATCTACACACAAATAGTTTTTACATAATAGCATCTTGTACACACATATAGCCTGTAGACACGAGTAGCTTGTACACACTAGGACACGAGTAGCTTGTACACGCTAGTAGTTTGTACAAACGAGTGGCTTGTACACATAAATTAACTAGCATACACTAGTAGCTTATATGTACAAATAGCTTGTATTCCGCGAAAAATATACAGCAACATTATCAAATCGCGTGTTGTGTTTGGTGGAGACTCAGTAAAAATCAGTACCCAGCTACAAAGTCAGTACCCAGCCACAAAGTTAATACCCAGCTACAAAGTCAGTACCCAGCTTCAAAGTCAGTATTCAGTTAAAAAGTCAGTATTCAGCTACAAAGTTAGTACCCAGCTACAAAGTCAGTACCCAGCTACAAAGTCAGTCAGTACCCTGCAACAAATTGAATACCCAGCTAAAAGTCAGTACCCAGCTACAAAGTCAGTACCCAGCTACAAAGTCAGTACCCAACTACAAAGTCAGTATTCAGCTACAAAGTCAGTATTCAGCTACAAAGTCAGTCAGTACCCTGCAACAAATTGAATACCCAGCTAAAAGTCAGTACCCAGCTACAAAGTCAGTATTCAGCTACAAAGTCAGTACCCAGCTATAAAGTCAGTACCCAGTTATAAAGTCAGTACCCAGCTATAAAGTCAGTACCCAGTTATAAAGTCAGTACCCAGCTATAAAGTCAGTACCCAGCTAAAATTCAGTACCCAACTACAAAGTCAGTACCCAGTTACAAAGTCAGCCCCCAGCTATAAAGTCAGTACCCAGCTAAAATTCAGTACCCAGCTAAAATTCAGTACCCAACTACAAAGTCAGTACCCAGCTATAAAGTCAGTACCCAGTTATAAAGCCAATACCCAGCTAAAAGTCAGTACCCAGCAACAATTACTCCCTAACCATACAGCTACAAAAACCAGATACTCACGACAATGTGGGGGACGAAGGCCCTGGCTTTGTTCAGGAACAATTCAACTTTCTCTTCGTCGATGGCAACCTCGTACTGGTCCGGCTCCAAGTAAAAGCCAACGTCTACGATATTGGAATCTCTTCTAGCGAGGAGAAAGGATCGGATGTATCATCCTAAGTTTTGTGAGAAATATTAGTCCTAGCACTCCCACCACCCCCACCCACAACTCCCAACCCGCCAAAATAATTATTTTGAAAATAAGTTTTTGGGGAAATTTAAGTCTTCCTAAAGAGACCAAATTTTCTGAATTTTAGCAACTTTTATTACATTTAAACTAAAACTTTTGGTTCTGATAGTTATCGATAGTTGGATCTCGTGAATGACATGGAATCAGATGCAGGAGAATAACGTAAAAGATGGGCTGTCTACGCTAGTCGCCAAAACCTGTTTTATTTCAATGGGCACCAACACTATAGGTTCTGAACCCCCGCCCCACCCCACATATCCATTACACCTCACAGAGAACACCCCTCCCCCAGAATGACCAAACTAATAGTCGGTATAAAGAAAAGCACCCAATCAACACAAATTGAAACTTGAATTGTTCAATCGGTTAGTGATTAGAGCAAAATTGAGTTTAACATTTCGTAGTATTGGTATTACCAATGTTCGCCCACAATAGACTCAGAGTTTCTTCCAGGCAAGTCTATGCCCCCCCCCCCCCCCCACCCCCGAACGAAATGGATTTTATATCGAAAACATACTTTTACCAGTGTCCGCCCCCCCCCCCCCTCCCCCAGAAAATGTTGTCGACTATACGTACTGTGGTAGAATCATTATGTCGTGATCCGTCATTAGGAATTCCTTTTTCCATTCGTGATCTACCTGAAAAGGTAGTGTGATTTACCTATTTGCAGTGGTAAATTAATGGAAATAGAAAAAAAACATCAGATAAAAGGCGCCCTATTCCTCAGCCCCTAAGTCGGTGTTCGCTAGAGCCTGAGTCAGCGTCGACACTATGGTGTGTGTTGGTCAGCTGGTGGCAGTGGCGTAGCCAGAATCGTCTCAAGGGGCGGGGTTCCAATTTTTACCCGGTAACAAGCTTTCCGTTTGCACCCACCCCCCTCAGACTTTTGATTTGCACCCCCCCCCCTTCAGAATTTTGATTTGCACCCCCTCCCCTCAAACTTTCGATTTGCACCAACCCCCTCAGACTTTTGATTTGCACACCCCCCCCCTCATACTTTATATATACACCGAGGGGTCTATGGGGGTTATGACCCCCCCTAACCTCCCCCTGCCTACGCCACTGGCTGGTGGTGTATTGTGTGGTTATCGTCTTGTGTATTTTGTGTGGGGATCGACCATTGGGGTATTGTGTGGTAACTGATCATTGGGGTGTAGTGTGGTGATGATGATCGACTTGTGGGGTGTTGGTTTTGTGTGGTGATCGTTTTGTTTCATGTGATGCTTGTCTATTGGGATGGTTGATTTAAGATGTGGTTGTGGATGAGATGGTGCGGTAAAATGTTCAGTCGTATGGTCGCTTTAGGAAACTAACGCAATGAGGAATGGTCAAATCTTTTGATTCAGTGATCTTCTAGTTGTTTAAATGGACTGTCTTCCATTAAATGTCCAGTACATCAAAACAGATCTTATTTCATTTAGACAACACGAGAAGTCCTAAGCAGTGGCGTAGCGAGGTCGGGTGTCACCCGGTGCGGCACTTAATGGTGTCACCCCCCCCCCCCAGAGACGTAGCGACCCTTCCCGGGGACAAACTTTCAAATTTTCGATTTGCACCCCCCCCCCTCAAACTTTCGATTTGCTACCCCCCCCCCCCTCAAGTTTTTTTATTTGCACCCCCCCCCCCACACCCTCAAACTTTCGATTTGCACCCCCCCTCAAGTTTTTCTCTATATATTTTGCTATTTTTTGCCTTGGTGTCACCCCCCTAAATGGTGTCACCCGGTGCGGTCCGCACCCCCCCCCCCCCCCCGCCCGCCCCCCCCCCCCCCTCGCTACGCCTCTGGTCCTAAGCATCCTAATGTATGACAGCGAATGTTGGAAAAACTCCAACACCACCACCAGATCATTGACTGAATTCCTTCTAAAAAATAAGTGCCTGAGATGGATAAAGGCATCCCAATACCATCTCTCTCTAAAGTTTACTTGAGAACTTGAAATGGAAGCTGTTTCGCGAGTATTCGAGAAAAAAAAAGGCGTTGGATGGGCATTAAAGACGACAACAGATGAAATGACAGCAACTGCGATAAACTGATTGGACTCAGCAAGGGAATAGGAAAAAATGGAATGCCTAGAGAGACATGAAGACGTACAGCAAAAAAAAAAACTTTAGAATCGAAGTATCTTTTGGGAACTGCCAAGGAATTTGTCAGTGGCCGACAGAAACGGAAGAAACTTTCAGTGACGGTCCCATGTGTGCTGGGCGCTGACGGGAAATGATGATGATGATGATGATGATGATGATGATGATGATGATGATGATGATGATGATGATGATGATGATGATGATGATGATGATGATGATGATGATGATGATGATGATGATGATGACGACGACGACGACGATGACGATGACAATGACGATGGCGATGATGATGATGATGACGATGATGACGATGATGATGATGATGATGAACCAACACGATCAAAACTGACCTGCACGGCGTAAGACTTGACCGGCACCACCAGGGGATCCTCTGTGAGTTCCCGACATCGCTTGCCTGTACAGTTAACCACTATGTCGTACTTGCCGTAAAGCTAATTAAAAGTCGGTAATTTAGCATTTTTAAAACCAACTGTTGCACCCAAATGGTAAATCTAAAATGTTAATCCTAGACAGTTAAACCCTATGGCCAGGCTGCAAAGAACGAGGATAAAATCCACGATGTTCGAAATTGTGGTTTACAAAACAAACTCGGTTGGTCGTAGTATAAGCCAAGGGAAGCAACAATTAATATTTTAACCGAAAGATGCATCTGCAACTATTACTTCCCTTGAAATAAATCATCGGTACAAGGTAATAAAAGAATAGTTTGGTTTTTCCGTTACGTCAAAATCATTAGAAAAAAAAAAGAAATAATATGTTGTAATCAATTGTATTACTCAAAAAAAATTAACAAATTATGCATAATATATAATTTTAGAAATACTATGTAGGGCTATGTATAGCAGTGCATTTAGACATACACACCCCTTTTATCGTCATGCCTCCAGCATTACCCCGACCCCCCCCCCCCCCTACACACACACACGCACAACCTCCCTCTAACACTTACCTCTTGTAGAGAGTAGACCGTGTCGAAGATGAGATTACCGCCCTTGATGCGAAATCTGAAAAAAAAATCATTAAATTTAAATCTTTAAAAAAGTGGAAACAAAATCTAGAGATGAGTTGAAAGGTTAGGTTAAGTGTGAACAGGTGCGTGGGGTTATGTCCGCAGAAAGAGGGGGGGGGCATCATTTAGGGGAAGAGAGCAGAGGAAAATCGTATTTAACCAGATAACTTTATAAAATAGTTGGGCAGAGGGGCGATACCAAAATTCTTGAAGAAGGTGGGGCGACACCCTCAGTCATCGCACAGGGTGTCACTAGTGATCTCGTTGGTCAGCATTCAGGGTTTTATTACGTCTCTTTAGGCGAGTTCCTTCACAATAATCGTAGTGAGTTATTTCCCTTAATCTCCCTAAACAATTATCGTAACTGAGTTATCCCCCTTACTCTTTCATAAGCCAGCACAAGTACTTGGTCCGGTTGATCACTACTGTCGTAAATTTGGCGCCAAATCTGAAATGTCAGACATTTTGTTTTTTAGCTGGTTGTTTGTTTATTTTTTATTTCTGTAAAAAAAAAGTGTTAAAGAAACTAAAAGCCTTATAAATCTATATTTAGGGGTGTATGTTATTTTGTTTTAATTACGGGGGTACAAATTCATTGTTTATAAAAGTTTTGGGGGTCATCCTATATGGCGTCACGCTTTTTTAGTGATGCTTGCCCCCTACACACACGCACACACACACACACACACTCCTCTAAATCTGTATCATACCTCTACACACCATCCCCACCCCTTAAATTTGCAAGTTGTGTTTTTGAAACAGCTTTCTTTATAAAACATTAAAAGGTCAGTTTAGATCTCAGCTTAACAATTTATTATGTGCAGCAGCCTATTAATTAGCCGCTTCATGTTTTAATCAGTGTCAACTGTTAACGAAAAAATATTTGTAAGAGTATCCACTTTCAACAAAACAAAATCAATGTTTAACCTTTTAACTTTCATCCCAAAACACTTAATGCTAAACCTATCAATTTTCATCCAAAATAACTTAATTCTAAACCTATCAACTTCCATATCAAAACACTTAATGTTAAACCTATCAACTTTCATCCCAAAACACTTAATGTTAAACCTATCAACTTTCATCTCAAATAACTTAATGCTAAACCTATCGATTTTCATACCAAAACACTTAATGTTAAACCTATCAACTTTCATTTTTTTTAAAATCAATCTTAAGCCTATTAACCCGCAACCCCAAAAAAAAATCAATCTAAGCACCTCAACTTTCAACCAAAATTAAATTTCCATCCCAACATCAACTGTTAACCAGCAACAAAATTAACAACACAACAACAACACACGGTACGAATACCTTTGACCTCATGGGTTTTATGCCCACGCACCTATGGCCCCACACACACACACCCACACAAATACACCGGCTGACCTGCAGTGAAAGTTGAGTTCCGTGATCTCCTTCTCTGTGAGCGGCTTGTAGTCGCTCACCAGGTTAGACATGATGTACTCGCCCCTGACGACCTTGGACCACAGACAGTAACCCGACATGAAGGTCTGGCCAGAGAGTTGGCCCATGGGGGAGTTGGCCATCTCGAAGTGATGTTTCCATCCATCGATGAGCCACTCGCTGGCCAGAACAAAATGGAATGTATTGAGTAAAAAATGGAATGTATTGAGTAAAAGATGGAATGTATTGAATAAAAGATGGAATGTATTGAGTAAAAGATGGAATGTATTGAGTAAAAGATGGGATGTATTGAGTAAAAGATGGAATGTATTTAGTAAAAGACGGAATCTATTGACTAATAATACTAATAGTTCTATAGTTCCAGGCTTCTTCTCCCCCCCCCCCCCCCCCCAGACGAAGAATGTCTACCTCCCCCGCTCCCGACGAAATAGAATTTATATTGAAAATACATACTTTTACCAGTGTCCGATTTCCCCGATGGAATTTATTGAGTAAAAGATGGAATGTATAGAGTAAAAGATGGAATGTATTGAGTAAAAGATGGAATTATTGAGTAAAAGATGGAATGTATTGAGTAAAAGATGGAATGTATTGAGTAAAAGATGGAATGTATTGAGTAAAAGATGGAATGTATTGAGTAAAAGATGGAATGTATTGAGTAAATGATGGGATGTATTGAGTAAAAGATGGAATGTATTGAGTAAAAGATGGAATGTAATCATTTCTTGTGAATCTGCAGCTATAGCAAAAGACCACTCTAATATATCTGGCTATATAACTCTACAAGATTTCTTTAATATATCTGCCTTTACACCTAGACCACTTCTATATCTCCCTATATAACTTAGAGCCTCTCAACTGAAGCTGTCTCTATAACTTAAGACAAATCTAATATATTCTGCCTACATAACGCTTATGAGATTTCTTGAATATATCTACCTCTACACCCTGACCACTACTATATCTGTCTAGTTACTTATAGCCTCTCAACTGAAGCTGCCTCTATAACACTCTAATAGTAATATACAGTGTTTCTTCCAGACTTTTCTCTCAGGGGAAAGGGGGCACTTGATATTTTCGGGGGGGGGGGGGCGGACTACATTTTCCGGGGGGGGGCGGTGGTTTTTCCCTGAATAGATCCCTGGAAGAAACTCTGGTTATATATCTGCCTATCGTCTCTGGTATAGACTTCTGTATCGTCTCTCTAGCTCTAGAGCCATCCCAGGCAACAGACGACACCCACCCCCTCCCCTACCCCCTCCCACGCCACACCCCTCCCCCCCCCCCCCCGCGCCATCCCACCCCCCACCTCAATACCTGGCCTGCACGCGGTCCGTGTCGATCTTGGACGGGATGGGCAGGAAGATCCCGGGGGAGAGCGGCGAGGTCGTGTCCCGTCCAAAAGTGTCGGCTATGATCGTCACCTTGACACCGGAAATCAGCAGCTGGATGTTGATGGCAGACGACAGCCCGACGATACCCGCGCCAACGACTGCCACACTCAGCGACATCTTTCGGAGTTGCCTAGGACCGCCTGCAAGTGGGGAAACTCGTGGTAAGGAGGGGGTGTCCATAAATGACCTCACAAACGGATAGGTGGTGGGGGAGGGGGGGACAGTGTTTCTCTCAGATATTATTTTGCGTGAGTGCATTTGAAATTTCCGTGAGCGAACAATGGTATACATTTTCTATTTGAATTTTATAGTTTTTATATTTTTGTGTGTCCGGGGAAGGCGCCATTATCGTCCCCACCAGAGGCGTAGCGACCCTTCCCGGCGCCCGGGGACGAACTTTTCGATTTGCACCCCCCCCCTCAAACTTTCGATTTGCACCCCCCTCAACATTTCAATTTATTTTTCCAACCCATTTTGGCGCCCCCTAAGGTCGGCGCCCGGGGACATATGTCCCCCCCCCGCCCGCCCCCCCCCCCCTCGCTACGCTACTGGTCCCCACCCCACCCCCACCCCCTTTATAAAAGGTGCCTGAAAGAAACACACTGGAAGCGAGGTTCGGACTTCTGCTTTGAGAAGTGGTTGAGAAAGTGTGACGTAAAAAAATAATCTTGCATTTTTTTAAAAAGGACAAAAATTGTTAAATAAAACAAATTCTTGTTAAGTTTAGTTGAACTTCGTGACTTCCTTTCAGCTCGTGATGAATTAATAAGGACGCCATGGTAGGACAATTGTTTAGGTCAAGGGCACGGTATCGATACCAGAACAATCGAGTGGTTTTTTTTTAGATGTACCAATACCAGATCCATTTTGACAACAACAAAATAGTTTTATATACCCTATGTTGCTTTTGTTCAGAGTCGCTGGTTAGACTAAAGGTTAAGAATAGCTACGTCACCGATCAGTGATATGAACAGGATAAAACAGTGGCGTGGGCAGGGGGGGGTGCAAATCGAAAGTTTGAGGGGGGGTGCAAATCGAAAGTTTGAGGGGGGGTGCAAATCGAAAGTTTGAGGGGGGGTGCAAATCGAAAGTTTGAGGGGGGGTGCAAATCGAAAGTTTGTCCCCGGGTAAAAATTGGAACCCCCCCCCCCCCTTGAGACGATCCTGGCTACGCCACTGGGGTAAAATATAATAATTGTAAATCGGGCTAGGGTTCTATCATTACGGTAGGGATTAGGGTAGTTATACTTGCAATCGACGCTTCAACACTGATCTCTACTTCTTATTTATCTTCCTATTTTTCTATTTAGAATGGTCGAATGGTAGAGCAGACGACTGCTTCCGCGAAAGACTGGAATTCGAGTCAGTAGACCGTCCCTGAGTCCATCCAGCTCTAATGGGTACCTGACACGTCAAGGATAGTAAAGGTAGCTGAGTATAGTGCTGACCACATAATCCTTTCATATGCCGAGGTCACGGAAATAGGTGAACCCTACGACTTACCCCATCAGAGGCGTAGCGAGGGCGGGGCGGGGGGGGGGTGCGGACCGCACCGGGTGACACCATGACAAAAAATTGCAAAATGTACAGAAGAAAAATGCTTTTTTTTTGCCATTTCCATTAATGATTAATTAAAGCTAAATAGTCTTTTAAGTAAAAATCGACAATTATTACAAGAATGTGGGGGGGGGGGGTGACACTATGACATAAACATGCTAACTTTAGAGAAAAAAATGCTACATCTAACTCTATTATTAACAGACTATAGATAAACATCGTTACTATTAAGTAGGCCGACACACACAAACGCACACACACATACACACACACACACACACACATATATATATATATATATAGTTTCTTGGGGGGGAGGGTATGTGACAACACGAAGTGCCGCACCGGTGACACCCAACCTAGCGACGCCACTGCACCCCATGGCGTAAAGTAAGGTTGGAAAGGGAACTATACTTTGCTAGATTCTAGATCTATTTATAATCTTATCTATATCTAGTCTTATCTAGTCTAGATTTTATTTACTTAATCTCATATTATATTGATAGATAAATTCTAACTGAATCTACCAAACTTACCTTCTCTTTTAAAAATGCTAATGAAATGCTGAGAAAGGCAAGACACGATTTACCCCCATCCCAATGAACTAGGTTAAACTATGTTGACACCAAAACATCCTGTCTAGACCCTAGACATACATAAACGGATGTCGGTGAGATTTTTTTTTTCATATTGCGCACCACTCGGCGCGAAATTTGAGACTGACTCTACGGACAGATCTAGTTTGGTTATTTTTTTAAACCCCATTAAAAATGTGTTATTTTTAAGTTTTCGGGACAACAATGGTTTACAGGAAGCAGGGTTTCTTTCAGATATTTTTCTCCGGAAAGTGGGGAAGGGGGGGGGGGGCACTTTCAGGGGCGCCCGATGCAAACTATTAATCCCCCCCCCCCAATCTAAATATAGCTAAAACAGATAGTTTTTGCCTGTTTTGTTTTAGGGGTTTTTTTCTCTATTTTTTTTTTCGCGTCCCACATTTGAAGTAGAAAACAGTTTAAAAAGTTCGTAAAGTCCAGCAGCAGTCTATTTTCTTAACGTCGTTTTTGTATAAGGGGCAACTCAATGTGATTATTTTTATTTTGACTATTTTTAGCACAACATAATATAGGCTACATGACATTAGGTGGGGGGGGGGGTTGCACCATGGTTTACGCACCAAGTGTCACCCAACCTGATGACGCCACTGATTGTATAGGCCTATGCTTTGTTGTCTTTCTTATTAATTAACAGTAATAGTTGTAGTATTGTTGTTATTGTTGTTGTTATGCATTTTTTTTTACTCGACTAGATCTATATTTCGTTGGTTTTATTGGAACCTTTTTGTCATTTTTATCTTAGTTTGTTAAAAGTTAAATCAAGATTTTAATTTATCCATAATTACAAACCGGAAGTCGCAAAACGAAAGAGGAATTTTAAAAAGCGTGTAACTAGTGAATCTTCAATGTAAGTCTGTGAGTGTCTGCTTGTAAAGTAAAATAAATCTATCTAGAATAAGTCTAGATTATATAATTTACTTTGTTATTTATATTCTAGTTCAAGCGTAGACATTTAGATCTAGATTCTAGTAATTCCTAGAGAGAGAGTTCTAGAATTCTAGATTTAACTAAACTTATTAATGTTATTAAACTAGCTCTACTAGCTAGATTGCTAGATTATTATTAAATTTATTGGTAATCTATCGTTTTGGGTACGTAAAATCGCCCGCGGCTATTAATGTACGAAAACGTTACCTCATTGTCAAGGCTGTAATAGAAGTATATTGTGATATGTTTGTGTCAAATATTATAGATTATAGATAAATGAATAATAAACCTAAATCAATGGCTAAATATTAATATATCAATATAGGCCAGAAATTAACTTTAAACAGCAGTGTCTGCAAGCAAGATTTCCTATATAAACAGCAGCCATTTGTAAAATAGAGTGACTTCCGCCTGAACTCGCGCTATAAGTCTATAAAAATAAAACGTTAACAAGATGGCTGCTATAGTAAATGAGCATGGTTGCATCTGTTGGAAACATCGCTAGTCTACATTTATTACTGAAAAGTTTTAATTCAATTGTTTAAAAACAGGTACATAAATGAAACAAGGAAACATTTTTGTATTTTTCAAAACGTAAATCCTCCTCAAAATGTGAAATAATTATTAAAATGTAAGGAGTCACCTGTTTTTCACATTACTAGTCGCGGGCGATTTTACGTACCTAAAACGATAGATTACCAATTTATTATATTATTAATAATATATATTAAATATATAAAATTAGAATATTAGGCCTAAACTAACTAATAATTAATTATTAATTTATTCTATCTAATTTACTCTAATACTAATTGTCTAATATTCTTCTTGCGTTGTTACTTTGTTACTGTTTCTGTACTGTTGCTACACACACCACACTACACTCACTACACTATTTTTAAATACAGTGGTACCTAGACATGACATTTGATGCTGACATACGAGCGCCTCGGCCTCGACATACTAGATTTTTTTTCAGATATGAGCAGAGGAGCGAGCGTTTTTCTTTACGAGCAAAGCAATGCAGGTAGATCTACGACCTACTACGAGAAACAGATCTTTGGGTGCAAATGTTAGATTGGCTTGCTAACATTACTTTAATGCTTTCTAAAAACTGTTTGTCTTTTCGTCGACACTGTGAACAACTGCATGGATAGTATAATGGAAATTTTCTCGCTAAGTAAATCTTTTATCTAAGCAGTATGACAACGTAATGAAACAAGTTTTGACCATGCCAAACGGAACTACGAAATTACGAAATATTTAAGCCCCAAATTAAAAAATAAAAATAAAATACATTGCCTAGCAACACGCCTACAGGCTATATTTGTCGCTGAAATTAAAAACTTGCTCTTTTATTCCATTATTATGGATACTACACAGGATATTACAAATAAAGACCAACTCAGTCAAGTGTTTTGATACCTGAAGATCATTCTAAACGATAAAAAAATAAACCTATATAATTTGAAATAAGAGAAGTCTTTTTAGGGTTTAAATGGAACAGATCATTCAGCCAATGGAGTTCGATCAAGAAACTTTAAAGTTATTTAAAATAAATGATATTAGCCTAACTAAATGCCGAAGACAACAAGCCTATGATGGTGCAAGTGTTGTGAGTGGGGTGTACAATGGTGTTCAAGCTGTCTTGAGAAATGATGTTCCAAGCGCTCTGTATATTCACTGTGTTCCATACAAATTGAATTTTGTGATAAATGATGACGTCAAGAACAGCAAGAAGGTTTCTACATTTTTCGCTACATTGGAAAATATTTATTCGTACTTTGGCAACAGCATAAAAAGGTGGGACTTACTATCACAATTTACAGGAGCGTCAAAGATTACCCTTAAACGACTCAATCCCGCACGTTTGGCTGGAAGATATACTTCTCTTCTGGCTGTTAAGCTTCGGTTTTTAGATAGAATGAAAGCTTTGATCGAACTATCTTTAAGAAGTACTTAGAAAGATTAATGAGAAGAAACAATACGGCTGCAGACCCACATAAATACAATTGAATTTGTTTTTATTTGCGTGATTCTGTTCAAGGTATTGACTGAATCGCATATCCCATCAACAATATCATAGACACAAAATTTAGAAATGATAGCATCTGATTCTCTACAAACTGCACGCGCAAATCTAAAACAATACAGAAACCAATACAGTTTAGTTAAAGATGAAGCAATACAAATAGCGGACAAATGGGAGATCAATCCAAATTTTCCATGGAGAAGGCAAAATCTAGTAAAAGAAAAAGAATTTATGAACTATCCTGTGACCACTGTTTTGAACATTAAGATGACTTTTGAGTTAGTGTGTGTAATTTTGTGTTGGATTATTGTTATCAATCAAATAGAAAAGAGATATTATTGAATGCATGAGGTTTCTACTTTGTTCGCCTTTTTTAGCTCCTTTGCAGTTAGTACCACTGCAAGAAAAAGATATTTTAAAATCTGCTGAAACTCTACAATTAAAACACAAAGAAGATCTTTCAGCAGAATTTCCTTTACGAATAGTGATGTTAGCATCAATGTTAAATGATTTACTTGTGAAAATTTCAACAATTAAAGATTTGGCTGAGCTATTCTTCATCAAGTACTCCACAATATCTTCAAGTTTTTTTGAACTGCAATATTTTTATTTTTTACTCTACCTGTCACTGTGACTACAGCAGAAAGATCATTTTTCAAACTTAAAATAATAAAGAACAAGCAGCTACACTGGCCAAGAACGAGTGAAAATCTCTCTTTGCTTGGAATAGAAGTCAAAAAAGCCAAACAAATAACATAAAAGTTGTTATTAGATAGAGATTTTGCTGATTTGAAATCCAAAAAAAGAAATTTTAAATTGAAGTCACATTTTATCTTTCATTTAAAACAAAAATGCATATCTAAACACCTTCATAGGTGTTGTTACTTTTGTTGTAGTGTAACATTCAAGTAATTGTTTCAAATGTTGTACAGAGAGGAGGCGCTGTTTTAGCAAGTTCTAAAATTAATATTCCTTATTATGTACACTCTATACATATGTATATATATATATATATATATATATATATATATATATATATGAGTTTGTGTATATGTATATATATATATATATATATATAGGAAAATGGACGACTGGTCGACAATGATGAGGTCGCTGCAAAATTTGAAGCTAGCAGACAAGTCAGCTGTAGAGCTAACCAAGTCAGAACCAGACTACATCCTCGACATAACACAGCAAAACAAGTAAGTGATAGGGTTGTTTCCCAGTTGTTATAAATTTTGATTTTGATACAAGTCATCTATGAACTGCCTTCCTTTTTATTTTTAAATATATTTATAAACAGCTGCTGTCACATCACTAGTGATAAAATGAAAAATATAATTAAAATTCTTTTTATGCATTGGAAGTCTTGAAAAATTTGTGAGAAAAATATGAAAAATATTATCAACATAATTTTCAGTTTCTTTTTTGTGTATACATTTAGAAATTCCTGCAATATGTTAAAAATGTTTAGTTTAAAAAAAATTATAACAGAACTATAAAATGTTAATGCAAATTTAACAAGCAAAAATTAATAACCTTATTCCCATTTAAATATTCCAGCACATCAGATCCTCTTTTAGCAGCAGCTTGTAGCAACAAGACCATCAAAATACTGTCTAGAGAGAGATTAACTCCCTTATCTGTGCTCTCAGGTAGGTGATCTAAATTTACTCTTGCGTCTTTGTATCAAAATAGATCTCTCTGATGTTGGTTATCTGTACTAACTGGTAGCTTCAGCAGTTGATGAGTTGAAAACCAGTGTTTTAGTTTGAAATTTTTAAGATGATAGTGTTATGCTGATTTTAGTTCATGCATACGTTATTCTGGATTCTCTTTTCTCCTTATTTGTGTTGGTCATCTCAGGGTACCCAGACACATTCTGAGTTTGTTGAAACAGTCATCTTTTTCAGTTCAACAAAGTGTAATCACTAAGTTTACTAAAACAAAGATTCAACTATTTCAGGTCATCAAGATACCATAACCAAAGTTGAGTTTGCTAAAACAGAGAGTCATCTTTTATTTTCTACATCTAGGGATAGGACCACAAGGTAGATCTGAGTTTTTAATTTTTTTACAACCTAGACTGAATGTGCATAATTATCTTCAGAAGTTGTTTTACAACGTGTTGTAAACTAATTGTAATGAACATGAAGGAAATATGGCACTTATTTTTTTCCTTATTTTGTATAAACTAGTTTTTAGAAATATAAATAATTTTAACTCTTGTTTGTATATTGTAGGTGTTGGGACACAAGACTAAAAACTAACAAAGAGGTCAAAACTTTCAACTGTAAGGAAAAATTTTTTAGTTCTTAAATTCAAAAATTATATATTGTCCTTTGTCTTTAATAAGGATGCTAAATTTTTGTTTTTAATTGACAAATGATGCGTGTCATTATAGACCTCTTAAAAATGCTATCTGTAAATATGGCAGTATCTCTGGGTGTGGTTGGGCAGGTAAGAACATGGTTGCTAACCCGAAAGTATGAGGTCAAGCCCTCAGGCAGATGTTTTTGTAAGGTGGTAATATTTATACTTATGTAACTCTGTAATAGTATTATCCATGCATAAGCCAAACAGGTTAAATTAGCAATTATATAAAAGTTGATACTGGGGTTATAATTAGGAATAAATTTCATCCCTTTTTTTTTAAATTTTATTCAAAGCTAGGCATATTGCCCAGTTAACCACTTGTAAAATTTATCTTAAATTAATTCTTACTATATGTATCTGTAGCACCAGATTCTGTACAAGCTGATTTTTTATCCCTGGATGTCAGCCAATCAGACAGGTTACTGTGTGTGGGGACTGAAAGTGCTAAGGATGCTTATCTTATGTTTTGGTGAGTACACAAGTTTATTGTTCTTCTTCTTTTCTTCTTCTTCGTTTTTAATTCTAGTGTTAGGAGGGATCCCCCTCCAACACAATTAAGTATTATATGTCAACTGGTGAGGCGCCATTGACTCAGATTTCAACCTGCTTTTCTTTTCGGATTTGCTTTCATAGCCTTTTCCAACCCAAAACAAAATACGAAGCAGCAGTTTTTTTTATTATGGAGTTGTCTCTCTTAAAAGAGTTGCTGTCCCCAGCTATCGAGCCTCATCTGCCCAGGGCCTTGAACTCAAGATTTTTCAGTTTAGCAACCATGAGCATTACTGACTCGACCACACAACTTCCGTTATATTGTTCAATACGCATAATTACGTTTTTACGACACATATTTTAATAACATTGCACATGATTTTATTGACCATTTTGAGACTCTTTCACCATTTGATGCCATTGATACAATAGTAAATTAAACACTTAGCTAGATGAGTATTGGAGGGGTGATTTGAAAAAAACTAGCTGTAGGTTAGCTAGAAAGCTTTTCTCAGATAGCTTATACCTTACTAGAGCATCAGACTAACTACTACTACTTTATATCCTAGTGTGTGCAAAAGACAATTACCTGGATATATCTCCAATTTATTTATATCAAGATTAAGTACTCTAAAAGCGGAGTAGGATTTTGTTTATAATTTTTTAAAATTCGGAATTTTATTGCATTTCAGGGGAGTTAACCATGCTTAGATTATTTTGCAATAAATATTAACTTGGTTGTTTCCCTTCATCCATAAAAAAATTATATCCCTGAAATATAGCCTACAGTTCTAAAAATTAAGAGAATACATTTATTTTAAAGAGCACTATATTATAGGGACACAGTGGTACATGGCATTTGATGATTAAGCTGAACGAGGGGCCGGCCCATCAGTAGTATAATTAGTGGCTCCCCAGAGAGCCCTGCAGCGCCCCGGCACGTAGGCAGTTGCCAAAGGATGTCTACCTCACTTTACGGAGGGTGACTAACTTAGACTTACATACTGCATGCATTGGAGCATCTGGTTGGTAGCATGGAAAAACGAGTGACATAACAACTCAGATCCAAGAAATATAGCGCCTACTTTATTTACTTTTAAATAACTCTGTTTTAGAAAACAAGGTCATGCGACTAAAAATACACAGTTGGTAACACATAGATTTATTCCTCTTAAAGTATTGCATCAGCCCTCAGCAGTTAGAGGGACAGGATCGCTGATATCATATTTGATACTGATATAAACTCTAACCATGCCAATAATTTTTAGTGTTTACCAAATTTGTTTATTAGACAGCTTTATTTTATTTATTTTTTAGGGATGTGAGGAACCCAGATGTTTTGGGGTGTTACAGTGAATGTCATGAGGATGACATCACACAGGTTAGATTTTATTTTATTTCATTAAATGATTGTTCTGTTCATTTGGTTTGTATTTAAAAATTCTTTGTAATTGAACAATGATGTGACAGTAGGGTTCAAACTGCACGGCCCCCATTATGTATGTTGTATTTGTACCCTTTGACAAGTTTGGATTTGTTATAGGTCAGTTTTTGATGACCTCATTTGTCAAGAGGAATAATCCTGGAGGTTTTTGCCTTAAAATTGGGCTTCATGTTTTATAACATTTATCTATGTGGTTTGACTTTTGTTTAGTCTCATTTCTTTGAATTATTTAAGAGTGGATTTGTTTTATCAGTCCGAGACATTTCAGAACTGGACCTATAAGAGGAATTAGATAAAGCTTCTTATCATTTTTGAAAGAAATAGTTCATGGTAGATGAAATAAGTTTTGGAATTTATTTTTGCCATACATGTCATCATCCCTGTTCATGCTCAAGACATATGGGGCAGATGAAATAGAGTTTATCTGTTTCAATGACCTCGGCATATGAAGGGAAAGTTTGGTCAGCACTTTGCCCAGCTGCCTTTACTTTCCCTAACACGAGTTAGGTACCCATCAGAGCTTGGTGGACTCTAAGACGTTCTACTGACTTGGACCCGGATTCTAACTTGAGACTTTTAGGTTATCAACCTAGCACTCTACCACTTAGGCTACCCTGTCTCATCTTCTTGCATATCATAGTTAAAATAAATTTTAGAATTTATTTGTGCCCTAAATATCCATAATTTTAAAAAACGATTAATTTGTCCCGCGCGTATTTGTGCAGGTAAAATTCCAAGCTGGCAGTGATGAGTACCTGGCCTCTGGCTCCGCTGATGGACTGGTCTGTGTCTTTGACCTGAAGGAAACAACAGAGGACGACGCTCTACAGATGACCTGGAACGCCCTCTCTTGTGTGGTCAGTCACTTGTTATATTACATTCAGTGAGTCAGTTGTTAAATTAGTCAGTTGTTAAATTACTCATTTGTTAAATTACTCATTTGTTAAATTAGTCAATCGGTTGTTAAATTAGTCAATCGGTTGTTAAATTAGTCAGTCGGTTGTTAAATTAGTCAGTCAGTTGTCAAATTAGTCTGGCAGTTGGTAAATTACATGCAGTGAGTCAGTTGTTAAATTACATTTAGTTGTTGTTTTTTTCTTATGCTTGTATGTCATTTGTATTTTAATAAAATTACTTACATGTATCTTGTCAAGTCTACACAAAAATTGTTTTCATTCCTCTGAAGTAACAAAGTTAAAAACAACAATTGTAAATCTTAAGTACAAAGTACCTTTTTGGACCAGATGAGGAGTTTATCAGTTTCTGTTATCTGTAAAACATGAAGGTGTGATATAGCTAGTACGATACTGTAAACATGTGCCTTATCTTCTAATATCAGGTACCTTATAAGTCTTAATTGGTTTATGGGCATCCTACCTGGTGGGGTAATCAGTATTCCAATCTAGTGGGCTACCGGTTAATCCAACCTGGTGGGATAACAGTTAATCCAACCTGGTGTATATATGTTATCCATTACACCAGCATCTGACTGTTGTTCCATATAGTGTTTCTATCTTGTAGTTTAAGATCATTTTTGCATTCACAGTAGTTAGCTAGCATTAACTTTCTGTACTGCCTAAAGCACTAAATGTCTGTTGTCTGTCTGTATAGATCAGGGGTCTCCAAACTACGGCCCGCGGGCCGGATGCGGCCCGCGAGATACTCTCATCTGGCCCGCGGAGATCTTTTTGTCCAAGGAAAAAACATTTGTTGGTGATAGCTGAGGAACTTTGCCCTGAAAAATCAAAGACGTGCCTAGTAGAAACTGGCCCCCGAACTGCTTTGATAGTCAATGCGGCCCTCGGGCTGAAAAGTTTGGAGACCCCTGGTATAGATTAAAACACTAAACGTCTGTTGTCTGTCTGCAGGTCTGTATAGGCTGGTGTGGAGAGAACCGCACAGAGTATGTCTATTGTGTTACAAGTGACAACAGCTTCCACATGTGGGACAATCTGCAGGTGGGCGTCATCTTGTTGGGTTCAAGTCTATTTATAGGCCACTAACCATCTTAGTTTATTGAGTGTTCTCCACTATTGCTTCACTGTTTTTATGTGAACTGCACCCTTTACACTTCTTTAGCTTGCTTCTGTCTATCCTCCAAATAAAAAAGTACACTTTTCAACCATACAGTCCATGGAGTAGGTGAAGTAGAGCCTGTTTTAGTGACTACATCATATGATGGGATAGTGCTGTTAGCTCTATGCCCTGCTGCCTTTACTTCTCCTAACATGAGTCAGAGTTGGGTTGATTCAGGGGCGTAATACAGACTTGAGCACAGGATCTGAACTCTAAACCATTCACCACACCATCGCCTATCAACTGTATAAAAACTTTTTTTTTTAAATATTATCTATCCCTCTTTTCCCTTGTTACCTCGCTTCATGCATGAACCACTTTTACAAAAGTTTCTTTACTGCAGGGAGAACCGAGCTGTACTATAGAGGAATTGTCATCAACTTTTACAGTAAGTCTTTTGTGAATTTGGTCACATTGTTGTGTTGGTCAATAGGTAAAGACAAGTCACTCAACTGGAGAGTTTATATTACTAGCACGCTCAAATAGCTTTACTGAAAAAAAAATGCATTAGAGTCTTTGCAAAATCAGCAAAAAATAATGGTTAAAATAAAAAATAGAACACTACCAACACATTTCAGTAGTTTTATTGATGTCAATGAGCGATTTAATCACACAGGAGCCATCAGATTATATTGTCAATTGTATCGCATAATCATACAGGAGCCATCAGATTATATTGTCAATTGTATCCCATAATCATACAGGAGCCATCAGATTATATTGTCAATTGTATCCCAGAACTGACTGGAGTAGAAGGGAACGCTGTTTTGTTGACAGGAACTTATGAGTAAGTTAAAGTATCATTCTACTTTAATAGTTAGTTAATGTGTTGTTCTTCTTTAATAGTTAGGTTAATGTGTTGTTCTACTTTAATAGTTAGGTTAATGTGTTGTTCTACTTTACTTGTAAGTTAATGTATTGTTCTACTTTACTAGTAAGTTAATGTATTGTTCTACTTTACTAGTAAGGTTAATGTATTGTTCTACTTTACTAGTAAGGTTAATGTATTGTTCTACTTTACTATTAAGGTTAATGTATTGTTCTACTTTAATAGTAATTTAATTAATTGCACTACTTCATCAGTAAGTTAAAGTATTACTCTACTTTGTCACTGTTTATCTATTTGTTCTACTTTATATAGTAAATTATTATATTATTCTACTTTATCATAAGTTAATGCATTGTTTTTTATTTTATCATTGTGTTTATTGTACTTTTTTGGAGTAGGAAGGATTATTCCATTGTTATACTTTGTATATGTATATTAATTTTAATTACCTTTATATATTAGTATTGATAAAATGAATTCTACTTTGTAACACATGGTTGGTAAAAATGTTAACATTTATTACATTTATAATTTTTCAGGGGAGGATTGAAGTTGATGTCTTATAAAGACAAAAGCAAGATACTTGACCTCCCCAATGGGCACACAGCTACAGTGAGATGTTCTCTCTGGGATCAAAAGGTCTGGTGGGCTGGTATTAGTGGTGGGGGGCTGGTTTGTTTGTGGTGGTGGGCTGGTTTGTTTGTGGTGGTGGGCTGGTTTGTTTATGGTGGGGGGCTGGTTTGTTTGTGGTGGTGGGCTGGTTTGTTTGTGGTGGTGGGCTGGTTTGTTTATGGTGGGGGGCTGGTTTGTTTGTGGTGGTGGGCTGGTTTGTTTATGGTGGGGGGCTGGTTTGTTTGTGGTGGTGGGCTGGTTTGTTTGGGGTGGTGGGCTGGTTTGTTTGGGGTGGTGGGCTGGTTTGTTTGGGGTGGTGGGCTGGTTTGTTTGGGGTGGTGGGCTGGTTTGTTTGGGGTGGTGGGCTGGTTTGTTTGGGGTGGTGGGCTGGTTTGTTTGGGGTGGTGGGCTGGTTTGTTTGTGGTGGTGGGCTGGTTTGTTTGTGGTGGTGGGCTGGTTTGTTTGGGGTGGTGGGCTGGTTTGTTTGGGGTGGTGGGCTGGTTTGTTTGGGGTGGTGGGCTGGTTTGTTTGGGGTGGTGGGCTGGTTTGTTTGGGGTGGTGGGCTGGTTTGTTTGGGGTGGTGGGCTGGTTTGTTTGGGGTGGTGGGCTGGTTTGTTTGTGGTGGTGGGCTGGTTTGTTTGTGGTGGTGGGCTGGTTTGTTTGGGGTGGTGGGCTGGTTTGTTTGTGGTGGTGGGCTGGTTTGTTTGTGGTGGTGGGCTGGTTTGTTTGTGGTGGTGGGCTGGTTTGTTTGTGGTGGTGGGCTGGTTTGTTTGTGGTGGTGGGCTGGTTTGTTTGGGGTGGTGGGCTGGTTTGTTTGTGGTGGTGGGCTGGTTTGTTTGGGGTGGTGGGCTGGTTTGTTTGTGGTGGTGGGCTGGTTTGTTTGTGGTGGTGGGCTGGTTTGTTTGTGGTGGTGGGCTGGTTTGTTTGGGGTGGTGGGCTGGTTTGTTTGTGGTGGGGGGCTGGTTTGTTTGTTGTTGGGGGCTGGTTTTATTGGTGGTGGGCTGGTTTTAAATGATTGTGGTTTGGTATTGTTGGTGGTTTGTTTTTCATGTAATATCAGCTTTATTTGTGGTGTTTTGGTGTAAGCTAATAACATTTTAGTGTTTGGTGGTGCTCCATTTGTGCACCATTTGCATATGAGATGTTATTCTATTCCTTGTAGTATCTACTACCAAATGCACATGGAAACTGTAAAAAAGACATTACTATAGTGTTAATTTAATTCTTACTCAGATGGATATAATTGTATTTAGAGGAATAATCTGTACCACATATTTAAAAGTTAAATGACACCACTGATTGAGAGGGATTAATGCGTATGTCCAAAACAAATTTTTTTTTTTACTTTTATTTAAAGTATTCTGCCTTTGTCAGTTTATTTTTTTATTTATTTTAAAATTTTCAGACAGCAACTTTAGTAACAGGTGGGGAAGATGCATTGGTCTGCTTATGGTCACAGCAAGGCTCATTTCATTCTGTTAACACAGACATTGTAAGTCATAGGTCTTTTGGCCTGTTTCATCTTATTAAAAGTTTCATCGCTCTTTTAAGTTTAGTTGTTAGTACATATCTTTCTGATAGAGTCTACACCAGTGGTTCTTAGCCAGTGGTTTCAGTAAGTCAGTCTCAGGGCTTTAGCGTAGGTCAAGACACACCCTCTGCAGATATGATACAATATCGGATTATTTCCGTGTAAACGATAGAACTAATAAGAAGGGTTGGGTGTATTCGCATTTGAAACTGGTGGGGTTTGGTATCTCCAAAAAAGTTAGGGGCCACTGGTCTAAACTAAAAGATTTTATTGATGTAATGAGATTACTTTTTCATGCTTTATTAGTCTCCTGCCTATAGCCATTTTATTTAGCTGAATCAAAGAACAGTCATACTTTAACTTGAAGCTAACATGTAGTCTTATTGTTTTGTTGGATTTTTGTTTCAGAAAAAGTCAAAGATGAAAGGAAATAAATCTACAGAAAAGCCTTACAGTAGAAAAAAGAAGTCTTGACATTTGAAAAATTATCTAATATGTTTAACTAATAAAATTATACAATGATTTTTTTTTTTTTATTATGTACTGAGTGAAACAAAGACAAAATTATTTTTATGTTAACATTCAACAACTGTTGTGTACATAGTGACACCACTTAGCGCAGTCATGTGTTTGGTCGTGTGACTCTTTGGTGGTTGTGTGGTTGGTTGTGTGACTGTCTTTAGTGGCTGTGTGGTTGGACGTGTGACTGTCTTTGTTGGTTGTGTGGTTGGTTGTGTGACTGTTTTTGTTGGTTGTGTGGTTGGTTGTGTGACTGTCTTTGATGGTTGTGTGGTTGGTTGTGTGACTGGTGGCTGTGTGGTTGGTTGTGTGACTGTCTTTGGTGGTTGTGAGGTTAGTCATGTGACTGTCTTTGTTGGCTGTGTGGTTAGTTGTGTGACTGGCTTTGTGGTTGGTCATGTGACTGTCTTTGGTGGCTGTGCAGACCAAACTAAATGCTGAGGTCTTTGAATCAGATCGTATCTACTTCACTTGCACCATGTGACTTGGGCACTAATGGGAAAAGATGATGATGCTCAATGTTGACCGAGCTCAGTGAATTTTCTATTTTAAAAAATAAATTTTAAAATACATAGCAATTTTTAGTGGGGGGGGGGGGGGGGGTAGCTTTTGTGTGACTTCAATTTTTTGTTTTGTAGGTGGGGTGACATTTTCTGTCGATTGTTGTGGAGTGGAAAGGCGAAATTCGTTTTTAAAAAGTGACGTCGTTTAATTATAGATGATCCCCCCCCCCCTTACCATCTATATTTAGCAGCTAAGAAATGGCATTGTTTTTATGGTAGTCGGGCAAAACATGAAGTTAGCACGTCTAATAGACTACTGCATAAGGGCCATACGTGGGTGTCTTATCTTAAAGGCCTATATTTAATAGCTCTATATGCTATAGTTGTCTATGTCCTCTGATGAAGAACTGAATCGCTTGCTGGTAAGTATAGCTGGTTCATTGTTGGTGGGGTTGGGTGGTCATTCGTAAATGACGGCACGTCTTTTGTCGATATTAACCCCGACCCCACCCCCCCCCCAATTACAGTTACACATCGTCACAAACCGTGAGCCGCCCTCCCCCCTCCCCCCCCCCCCCCCCCCCCCCACACGCACACACTGGAGTCAGACCTCAGCCAACATTCCCCCACCCCTCCTCTCCCCTTCTCAAAATTGCAGTTTTTTTTTTTTTAAACATTGATTTCTTTTTAAAATAAAAACTGTGCTTGAGAATAATAATCAATTTCTATAAAGCCTACTATTTACAAAAATAGCCTTTTTAAAAAAAAAATCCAATATAAGTAAGCCTATATAACAAGTTACATTTTATTTCTACCATTACTTTATAAAACGAAAAAGTATTAAGAACCACAAAACCTCTTCCCCACCTCCCCCCCCCCCCCCCCATGGAGTGGGACATCGTATATGGACGTGTAAGTATAGAGAGGGGACGATAGCTGCTGGGTAGTCTTCACTTATACTTATATTCCTTTTTTGGCTAGCCCCGAGAAAGGAATGGTAGGAAAAACCCAGTGTCTTGTGGCGTCAATGAGAAGTGGGTGTGGTGGCAGGGGGCTGCAATCAATACATAAGGGTTAATTGCAATTGATACAAAATAATCTCACTTGTATACAAGTAAATGTTGTGTTTTTACACATTGGGAGGATGATAGGGTGTTAATATATCGACAGAATGATGTTTTTTTTTACACATTGAGAGAGAGTCGAGAAGTTATGATGTTAAATTATTTACTCATCGATATAAGGATGTCATTAACACATTGAGAGAGATGTTATAATGTTATTTAGACATCCATAGAAGGATGATATTTACACATCGATAGAAGGATGTTACTTACTCATCTATAATACTATATATGAATATTTACACATTAAGGGATATGTTATAATGATATTTACACAGTGATAAAAGAATACTATTTACACATACAGAGTGACGTTATAATGTTAATTACACATCGATAGAAGGATGTTATTTACGTATCTATATAAGGATGATATTCACACGTGGCTTATTAACACAGACAAAAAAGTAGTTAGATGCCACACTGCATCGGGTGTCATCCGACCTACTGACGCCACAGCTATGTCTGCAGTTTGTAAGACACGACAGCAACATTTCCTTCCAGAGCTTTTAAATTAAGGTCCAATGAGTACTAGGCTAAAATAATAATATAGATCCAACATAACGTTGTCATCGATGGGTCCAGAACAATAAATTATCAATAATGCTCTTTATTAGAATGTATTGTTGTTACGTCTTTTTCTTTTCTTCTCTGTCTTGTTGACCTGTTTTATTTATGTAGCGCGCGGGTTGGGGGGGGGGGGGGCTTCAGAAGTGAAAAATCAATTTTCCCCCAATATACTTTATACGCCTCTTCTGCGATCAGCATACGAGATATTATTAGGTTATTGTATTAAACCTTGCGCATATCAAGCGGTGAGGCAAAAAAAAAATTGTACTGATTTTAAGTTGTTTTTTTTTATAAGTATCATATACTTATCCATGTGGTGGGTTTGTCTAAATTTTGTGAAGATACAAAAAAAATATAGACTAGATCTAAGCCTACTTTATTTTTGTGTGTGAATTGTACTTCATAATTTACTTTAGGACTATTTATTTATATTTCATATTTATCAAAACAATAAACCTCCCATGTTTTAATAATCATAACTAATATGATATAGTTACGAATTTAGCGTTTATAAATTATAAATGTTTTTCTTTGTTTAACCAGGTAGATCTAGATCTAATCCTTCCGTTATTAGATTAATTTTCAAACTAGTTTTAAAATTTAAATGACTAAAAGTAGTAACGTAATGGAAGATAATAAAATGTAAATTAATTTAACTTTATATTTTAAACGAAAACACTGAAATTTCAAATAAAATTATTGTGCCTTTATTTTAAATTAATAGAATTTGTGTTTCCTAAAATTTCGGAAATAAAGTAGTTCTCAAAAGTTTACATTGTTAATCAGCGTTAGGCCTATTTTACAACGATTTAGTTGTTATAACAACATATGACGTCATGAACTGATCACGTGTCAGCATTGACCGTATTATAACAAATTACTACGCTGTCAGCTTAATCCGCTGTATGTGAAAATAGAATCGAATGGAAATAAATAATTATTCTCGCTTTTTAAATAAGATTCTTTACTAATTATTAATACAAATATTTTCGTATTCCGTTTCGATTAAACGGTTTAGCGAATTTAAAATCAGGAATTTAAAAAATAGCGTTTATCCAGTGCACTATTTCCAGGCGCGGAAGAGTATTTATTATTCACACCTGTTTCTTTTGCAATTTTGTGTGAAAACTATGGAGGAATCCATGTGGATCCGGAAATAACGGAATATTTATGTGCTCGATTTCCCCCCGTATTTTATCTAGTGGTGATTCTCGTGTGTACTAAGGGATGTCACAAGAACCTCACCACAGTTTCGACACGCTATGGGTTGTATGAGCACCAAACTGGTGCCTGAAGCCCCACCGAACGCACACCTGGTTGAAACCGTTTTCAGACAGGACGGGAAGACCAGGAACAACCGACATGATGCTGACATCAAAACACAAACCCATCTCCGTCCGCGAGAAGCGACGTCTCGCCAGGTCAACAACGACCACGAAGGCTCCGTTCAGGGGCCTCGCACGAACAAAAAGGTGAAAAAATACAGGGATAAATTCGATTCGAAAGTCACAGCTAAGTATGATATAAAAGCCCTGATCGGGAGAGGGAGCTTCAGTCGAGTTGTACGGGCCGAACACAGAATCACAAAACAACCCTACGCAATAAAAATGATCGACAGAGTACAAGGAAAAGAGGTGTTCGAAGCAGAGTTGAACGTTTTACGGAGGGTGAAACATGTGTATATAATCCAGTTAGTTGAAGTGTTTGAATTTGAAGCTTCTGAAAAAGTTTACATGGTTATGGAACTTGCTACGGGGGGAGAGCTTTTCGATCGGATCATCGCTAAAGGAAGCTTCACAGAAAAGGATGCCACGAGAGTATTGACAATGGTTTTAGAAGGGGTCAAATATCTACATGGGTTAGGCATAACACATAGAGATCTCAAGCCGGAAAATTTGTTGTACTACCATCCTGGGCATGATTCCAAAATCATGATCACAGATTTTGGCCTAAGTGCAATGCTAAAGGGGCCGGACAATCTAATGAGGACCACCTGTGGGACGCCAGAGTACATTGCCCCAGAGATTCTGGCCAGGAAACCATACACCTGCCAGGTTGACCTGTGGGCAATAGGTGTGATAACATACATTCTTCTAAGTGGGACAATGCCATTTGATGATGAGAATAGGACGAGGTTGTACAGGATGATTATAAAGGCTAAATACAGCTATGTAGGAGAGGTAATATGATTTTATTCACACAGAGGATAATTTCATGTTTAATGGAAAACAAAAATAATCATTAGAGCCCTAAATGAATGTTTGACCACATTTTATTATTGTGTATTAAATAATCAGTGCAGCTTTGGTTCTGCTTCTAGCAATATCAGGTGTTAAAGCTGGGGTGTGTGAAATTTCAGTGGGGGGGGGGGGGGGGGGCAGACATTGGTCAAAAAAAAAAAAAAAAAATTTATATATATATATATATATATATATATATAATTTCTATTTTGTCCAGAGTTTCTTCCAAGCATCGCTTCGGGGGGGGGGGGGGGGGGGGGGTTCTGGAGAAAAAAATCTGGAAGAAACACCGATTTTTGTCTAGCAAGGGGAGGTGGGTGTGATCTTCCTGGGGTGGAGGGGGGGGCACTCCTCCCCCCCCCCCCCCCCCCCCTCACCCAAGAGAAACACCTGAAAGTTGAAAGACGGGTCACAAATAACCAAAACATATACTGTCATAGACATCATCATACACATAAGGAGCTCTCTCGAACACTCTCTACCTCCACAACTTATTTTCTTCTCATCTCCAGGACTGGACATGCAGGATTACTCTTAACAATTTTTAGTCACTGACTTTCACTAACCACAGATATCTTCACTCCATCTTTCAATCAACAACTCCTATTCACCATAATTCACTACCTGCCACATTCCTTATCCATCATTCTTCTCTGTACCATCATTTCCCCATCCATCGACATTTTCCTCCATCTTTGTGTTTTCAGGATATCTTAGAAAATAGTTGTTAAAGTTTATTTTTTTTAAATGTGAAGAACCAGATTTAGGACACTGCTTACTTAACACTACACGATTGTTTGAGTCATTGGGATGTAGGCTATAAGTATAGTTCATGGGAACAGAATATTTCTTGGTGATGTAGGAATGGGACAGTATGTGGCATTTGAATAAGCACACAAACACACACGCACATATATATATATATATATATATATATATATGTATATATATATATATATATATATATTATATATATTATATATATATATATATATATATATTATATATTATATATTATATATATATATATATATATATATATATATATATATATATATATATATATATATATATATATATATATATATATATGTTGGATTTTAATTAATACCTATCAATGGTGGCAATAGTAGGCATAGGGTTTTTTTTTATTGGTGGTAATCAGAAATTGAATACGAATCCTAGTGCGGTAAACCAAATGAAGGAAACTGAAAATGTAAATAAATAGTATCAGATCACAAAAAGAATAACATACAAAAAATTAAATGGCTTTCAGACAATATAATAATACTAATACACTATGTAAATGGCCTTTAATTTAAAATCACAAGTCTAGTTGCAAATAAAATGTCTTTAAAGAAATCTAAATTACAACCAAGGTACCTTATTTTAAACATTTTTCAAAGTTTTTGTTACATTTTAAAATAAATGACATAGATCTAGATCTGAACTGAGGTAGTCGCTTGCAAATTTATTCTTTGAAACGATATCGCTTTTAGTGTTATTTAAAATTTGTATGTCTTGTAGTCTAATGTTGTTTCATAGTCATATTGAATACAAAATTGGTTAACATTGAGACCCTGATACTGACTAAACCTTAACCCCAGTCCTAAATTTTTAAACCTAACTCACGACATTACCTGATCTCTAATCTTGTTTAACATTTTACTGTAACATCTCTTTAAATGCATAGCTTGTTAATAATTCTATGTTTCTGTTGCAGAGCCTATATATATAGAATCACGAGACATTACAATTTTTATTTTAGGTACTTCCCTTTCAAACCGATGACTTGAAACCATTGACAGCATGCAATATTAATCTTCAAATGATTTGTCCGAAAAATATTCAATCATTAGTATTTGGGGATTCAGAAGTAGTCTACTGATATGCAAAGTGATATCTGGTAGTAATATCAATACTACTTGAATAGATTTTATACAGGAAAAGTACTAGATACACTTATGGAAGCTTCATGAAAATAAAATTAATAAAAAAATCAATTGATAAAAACCACATAAAAAAGTTTTAGAAATCTTTGTGCTTTTTTTTATTTTTATTTTTTTTTCCTTTTTTTTTACTGTTTTCTTAAAAAGTTGGGATACTTTAAAAACTGTTTTTAAACTTTATAATTTATAGCACTTAAAAATTTTGTCAAATTTCATCAGTTGAATTTTCTTATACTGTCTGACTAAAATGAGTATAAATTTTTTTTAAAGTTTGAAAATGTTGTCCTCTGCCAAATAGTTGTTGACCGCTTTGTTCTTTCCAGCATCTCTTGGTTCACAAAAATAACATTTATTTTAACATTACAGTAACTGAAACTCCATCTCAGTAATGTTTAAACTATCCAGCAACATTCAGTACTTTGACAATTAATTAGTACTTATCATATCTTATCAGTCTATTTTGATTGATTGTTTTGCATTAAAATATATTTTTTTTAGGAAATCATACCACTTTTTAGGTATTATTTCTAAAGCTCTACTAAGCTCTACTGTTAATAGGGTTACTGTTGTAGGGTAAAAATATAGTCAGCTAGCCTTTGGACCTGTGTTTTTTCCAGACATTTTTCTCGGGGGGGGGGGGGGGGGAATGGACAGAACACAAATAAAAGTATGTTTTCTATAAAAATTCCATTCTGTTTGGTACATGAAGTCAGTTTCACCTGTTTCTGTGATCTGGGCATGTAGGGCAATAGTCTGGTCCATTTTACACCCAGCTGCCTTTACATTCCCTTACTTCAGTCAGATAATCAATGTAGCTGGGTGAACTTGATTCCAGAAAGTGAAATGAAATTTTTTTATAGCAGACATGTTTCTACCCTCTGACCTCACTGTCTTATGTAGAAATCAACATCATCTTTTTCCTGTTTGTGCCCAAGACACATGAGGCAGATGAAGTAGAGTTCATCTGTTTCAATGATCGCTGCTTACAAGGGTATAATAATGTGGTGAGCACTATGTCCAGCTGCCTTTGTTTCCGTAATACGAGTAAGGTACCCATCTTATATAGAAATGGGGTGCCAAAATATTTCTTTACCAAATACTGGCATCTTCATAAATGCTCTGCTTAGTTGGCTATTCTTAGAGTGAAAGATGTTATAAATTCCAAATATTCCGTATAATTCTTTAGCATATTCTGAAAAAACTATATTATGCAAGCAACAGGATGGTTTAATTGGCTGTACATCTTTGTGTTTTATTGATCACCGTGTTCTCATTCTTCACAAACAATTATTCAACTTGTTTCCTGATATTTTATTTACTTGGCTATTATAATCAGTTTGAAATTGGTTGGAACATGGCATGCACTCACCTATTATTCAATCTTTCTATGGAGAGTCGGAGTTTTTCATTAGCATTCATTCTTTAGCTTTTTTTCTGGCCAATGTGTTTGACTCTATTGTCTTAGGGCCTTTATAGGCCTAGTTTTATTGTCTTTTTATTCTATTATTAATGCTGTTCAAGTGTTGTATTTTATCACCATAGTCCCTTGTTGCTGTGTGTGGGCACTAAGAAGATCAGAATGATAAGATTTACACACATTCTCTTGTTTTGTGTTGTTGGTCAATTAATTTTGTCATTTAGGTGCTACAGTGTGGGTTTTTAAAAAAATACTTTTAAGAAAAATAAAATTCAGAAACAAAATATGTACCAGTATTGTTAGGGTTGCCAGGTGTCCAGTTTTGAACTGGACAGTCCAGTATTTGAGCAGACAGTCCAGGATAAAATAAATATAAATACTGGACAAGTATATGTTTTACCCCCCTTCTTCTGCTTTGCGGAATACCTGAGAAGGGAAGGATAGAAAGGTGTCCAGTATTTTCGGAAAAGGTATCTGGCAACCCTAAGTATTGTATAAAATTGATAATATCCAGGACCAAAAGAAAATCATTAGTACTAGAACTATTAATATTACTATTACAGTGAACACAACTATACCGTAAATCATGCAGTCACTCAGTTCATAGTCCACTGTTTGTATCCTCATGTAATACATCACTGAGTAGGCTTACGTACTTTAGAACTATAAATGTCTTATTCTGTATAATAGCCTATTTATACGATTTGCATGCAGTGGCATAGCGAGGTCGGGTGTCACCCAGTGCGGCACTTAATGGTGTCACCCCCCAGAGGCGTAGCGACCCTTCCCGGGGACAAACTTTTCAATTTGCACACCCCCCCCCCTCAAACTTTCGATTTGCACCTCTTAAAAGACTATTTAACACTCGAATTAATCACTTAATTAATTAAGTGGAATTATAATTTTTCTCTATATATTTTGCTATTTTTTGCCTTGGTGTCACCCGGTGTGGTCTGCACCCCCCGCCCCCCCCCCCCCCCCTCCATTGCTACGCCTCTGTTTGCATGTGCCACAGGGGGTAAAATTAATTTGGCCCAGAAACTTTATACTATAATAAAGCCACTGTTAACTACTGTTTGATCTATATCAATATTTAGTCATTTTGTATGGTTTCAGTAGAGCTCCAAACACAGGTTCATAAGTGTTTGGTTTTATTTTCTTTAAAATCTTTATTTGCATTTTAGTATTGAAATTGTTCATTGTTTTGGTTTTTTTTCACTATGCTCCTCCTAGAGTCTTAATACACATTTATCTTTCTTTCTTGACATAAAACAAACTATCATAGTTAACCTTATTGTCAGATGACAGACAAAATGAGATTGTCTGTGGGCTAACTAAAAATGTCTTCCCACTAAACCATTCTCTCAGATTCAGTTGATTGATGGGTTAAGTCTCATATGCCCATGTTCTTATTTTAACATTACTTACTTAATACTTTGGCCCACTGGAAATGTGTACTACAGTTAAGCAGCTCTTAATAGTGAGTGAATTGGTCTACAATGCTACACTACTTGATTACTCATCACAACTTCCTGATTTTTAATTTTAGCCTCTGCCCATTTTATCTTTTTTTA